TAAAACTCTCCAATATAAAGACTGTTCTTCTTGGACTTGGGGGAGTGTTTGGTGTACGTAATAACGACAATAATGTCCAAATTTGCTGCAACCTTTGCTTTTCGTTTTTATCTGTTTCATTGCGTACTTGGAGGAGATATTTTTTTCTTTGCGGAGGTTACAATCATGGCCGATTCCGGACCCGAAACCGGCGGCGTTTCGAGTCGGCCGGCAGTCGTGGTAGCCGATTTCGAGGTTTCGAAGAAACCTAGGATGAACAAGTTTGCTTTTGCTTGTGCTGTACTTGCGTCCTTAACTTCCACGTTACTCGGTTATGGTAAGTAAAGGTTTCATTTTAAGCTCTTTTCGGGTAACTTTTCAGTGACGATTCCAATCTAAAATTTGTATGAAAATAGATATAGGAGTGATGAGTGGAGCTATAATGTTCATAAAAGAGGACCTGAAAATCAGCGACGTTCAGATCAAAATCCTCGTCGGTATACTCAGCTTGTATTGCCTGATCGGTTCGATTGTCGCCGGGAAAATCGCCGACGTGATCGGTCGGAGATATACCATCGTGTTGGCTAATGCCATAATCTTAATCGGATCTCTCCTCATGGGTTTCTTGATCAATTACGCTTTGCTTATGTTCGGTCGATTCGCCACCGGTATTGGCGTCGTCTTTGCCCTTCTGAGTGCTGTTCTTTATACTGCCGAAATTTCCCCTGCTTCTTCTCGAGGATTTCTCACCTCATTCCCTGAGGTAATTAATTAAGGGTAAACGATGACATTAAAGAAGCCACCGGATTCAGCGCAGATTTCACCACCGGCGACGTCGTCCAAAAGCCGACCCACGGAGAAGGGGTGTGGAGATAATTACTATTGCACCCGACACCCGCCGTCAGACACGTCTTAGTTTGCATTGCCGGTGTTCATTTATTCCAACAATCATCCGGTGTGGCCGCCGTCGTTTCGTATAGTCCGAGGATTTTTGAAAAAACAGGGATCACGTCATCGGACGGTAGGTTGCTTGCCACAATTGCCATCGGATTTAGCAATACGATCTTCGTCTTGGTGGCGACGATTTTACTCGATAGAATCGGACGCCGCGCTTTGCTCCTGAGCAGCGTCATGGTGGGGTCCCTACTGACGCTGGCATTTTCCCTGACGGTCATCGACAGATTGGAGGAGAAACTGACTTGGGCGATCGTGCTGTGCATAGTAATGGTTTTAGCTTTCGTTTATTTTTTCGCGATCGGGATGGGGCCGATAGCCGGCGTTTACATATCGGAGATCTCCCCGTTGAGGCTACGCGCGCAAGGGGTGAGCTTGGGAGTGGCGGTGAACAGGGTGATCAGTGGGGTCATCTCCATGACCTTTATTTCGTTGTACAATGCGATCACCATCAGAGGTGCCTTTTTCTTGTTCGCTGGCTTCGCCGCCGTTGGATGGATATTTTTCTACGTGTGTCTGCCGGAGACAAGTGGAAAAACACTTGAGGATATCGAAGGACTTTTTGGTAAATTGGTAGGTTGGAGGGAGGCTTCTAAGGAGATGAAGTTAAACCATGAATTCTTCAATTTGGTACACAAGGTTTTAGGGTAAACTACATCATACACCATTGAATTTTAGGTGTCGTATTAGTTTATACCACAGAACTTTAAATTTTATTAATTATAGAATTAAATTTTGATTTTCTTTTCAATTATACCACTGGATTGTGAAATCGTTACCGTCACAATGACATGGTTGATGGCTACGACGTAAACATCTCACCAGCACGACATCGTTTCAATATGGGTGTTGACGATTTAACGACCTACTGGTATAATTGAAACGAAACTCAAAGTTCAGTGGTATAATTGTCAAAATTGAAAATTAAGTGATATAAACGATACAGTGCTTAAAGTCCAGTGATATTTGGTGTAGTTTACCCTAAATTTTATGATAAACTATTTAAATGGGCCTTACATTTTATATTTGTACACTTTTATTTATAAAATAAAAAAAATGATTACTTGTGTTATCATTTTATTAAGTTTTGATTATTTGTTATACTTTTATTAAGTTTTAATTACTTGTGTTGTGTTATCGTTTTATTAAGTTTTGATCACTGGAATATTGAATGACATTAGTTTGATTACGTGTCATATTAAATGATATTCAATTTTTATTTTTACCCTTAAACTTTAGATAAAATATTGATTATGAGCTTTTTAATAAACTCAAAGCAATTTAGAAACAAACCCTCAATTTATCCCTATGATTATGTTTTTCTCACTTATGTTGAAATTCATATTTTCCATCACTTTTTTCGAGCCGATTATAACTGTGACAAACTCCTTGAAAATTAGTGAATTTTTGTGTGTGATTAATTTGAGATAAGTACAAGACAGTTTATGTTCAATGATAACTCTCAATCATTCAACATTAAACGCTCACACCCCTAACATCTATGGTATTTAAATCCGAGTCCTCAATGAATAACAATACTTCCTTTACTACGATATCACTTGATTCGTGGAAAACGAGTGAAGTTATTATACAATAACTTGATCACTGTAAAATATAGTATTAGCTTGAAAGCATTCGAAATACTACCTTCTAAAGGGGTTCTATTCAATTCAATCAAATCCTCACCGTTAACCCTTGTGATCTTATGTGGTCTGGGGGTATATTTTCTAGTACAATACTTAAACAACTTGAAACTTATAAATTAGAGGATATTTTATATTGAACTAATCAAATTCATAAATTAGAGAATATTACGTATTGAACTAAGGCTGGACCGACTGATTTTTTCAAATATAAATAACAAAACTCAATATTGTTTTAATATTATATTATAAGTAAAAATTTAAATCACGTGGTTTTATATAAAGAAACATTATTGTCAGATCAATCAATGTCACTCGTTCATTCTTAGCCCTTGTAAGAAAACTGAGATGTCAGCAAAATTGGCCCAATAGAACAAATAGGAAATAAAATATATAGACGAAAATGCATCAGAGGTCTTTATACTTTTTTTCTTAAAAAATAACATGGCCCTCTAATACATGCGTCACAAGACTCACATCAAAGAAAAATAGACTAACGCTTACAATTAATCCACACGGTCAAGTCTTAGAAAAGAATAGCAGCAGACCTATGACTGCTTTTTGAATGGTATCCTGATGTTGTTTGGACAACATTTATTTTGGAGTTACAACCGGTTGTCTCTTAGTTTTCTAACGGTTTTTTAATCGCCTTAATATGATATTGGTAACTCAATATATATCCATTTTAGTGAAGACAACTCATGCATCAAATCTTATATGGGATTAATACTAGATTTTGTAAATATTACTAATTTTTAATATTTTTATTGATTATTTGTAATATAAATTAATATAGGATAATGCATTATCTTTTAAGATTATATTTATTATTTTAAAAATTAAGATCACGTTAAAATATTAATTTGTTATTATTTTATTCATTATTCATGTTAGGACAATAACACATTTTAACTTATGAAAATGTTGTTTCTCCCACAATTGTAAACACATATTTTTCTTGAATAATAATATAACGTGAGTACGTTTTTGCAAATGTTTATTGGCTTGTGCCTTCGAAGCTTCTTCAAACCCGAGTTCTTTAAAGTTTTTGCGAGGGATATCAATCTTCACATTCCGGTTTGACTCTTCATTGCGATTAGGAGGGTTAATTAGAGTTGTATGATCAGGTTTGCCTTTTCATTGTGACTTGGAGGGTTCGATAGCATATTTATCCATATATCTTTATCTTCCACAAATCCATTACCCTTTTTTTTACATTATTACCGTCCACCTCTATTGGCTAAGTTTAATTTTTCCATTACATATCTTTCTTTTAGCCATCTTTCTTTTATCTTTATCTAACTTATCTTTATTTTATCATTCTCTTTTTATTATCTTTATTTCTCACTGTCTTAATCTTTGTTTCTTTGTCTCAATTCTCAACAACCCTAAACCAAATACTTACATTTTTTACCACCACCATAACAATCTATTATTTCCCTCTAGTTCTTTGATCGAGTCTAAAGTTTTTTAGGCCTGATTCTTCAACAACGAGCAACGTTCATTATCCGTTGTCGCATCTCTATCACCCTCATATTATTTTTTTTCTCAATTAGACCCTCCAACTCATAAAATAAATCCAATCTGGTCATTTGTCCAACTTTTTTCGTTGTTGACCATTACGATGTTGATGTGACAGTTTATTGTGACATACAGTCCACAATGATTGATAACGTAGTAGATGACATGATAGATGGGCAAAATTGGTAACTTAAATATAGTAGATGAATTGTTACATTAACATCATAAACCGTTATGTCAATACCGTAAACTGTCACACCAATATCGTAACGTTTAACGACGAAAAAAATATTGGTCAAATTACCATATTAGATTTATTTTATGAATTGGAAAGTCACATTAAGAGAAAAAAAATACAGGGGCCATATTGATTTTTTTCAAACATAAGAGGACAACTGATGCTTTTTGCTAAATATATATTTATCCGATTCCAAATTAGACCTTAATACAATATTATCATAACACCTCCAAACCCACACGTATGGAGCCACACATGCCAATGTTGGCTTTTTGTCCACGTCATCACCCCCGGTGGGCCGCATCCCTAAACATAAAAAATCCTAAAATTCACGCCACATGCACCCTAAATTTACCCCAAACTAAAACCCAAAATATACGACCCCGATCCACGGTCTTGCCCTTTTACACGTGTCGCAACAACCCCATCTCAGCCGTTTATGCCAGATCACTGGTCAACTTTCTCCTCGCCCTCAGATTCTCTAACAGCCCTTGGATAAATAAAAGAACTCCATCGAAAGGTCAGAATACTGCCCGAAATTCAACCGGGTAGATCTCATCGCCTTTAAGAAGCGACCCTATCCTCCTCTTGTTCATCGCTCAAAATTTAAAAGGGTTAAAATATCAAACCCTAATCGTTTCGTAGATTATTTATTAAAAAAAAATCATTTTTCAGTTGTAATTATTGTCAACATTGGTTAAGCGGCACGTGGAGTTCACGCTCGATAGTTTTCATGGTTCTAGTTTTTCAGCCGCGATCGCGAAACCCTCGCCGGAGTCCTGCTGATTCCCGGAAAGTGAATGGCGTCGGCCGTTTTGGCGAGTCGAAGTGAGTCAAATTGGCCGCCGCAGCTGAAAACCAGTGTCGCTTTCATGGGCAAAGTTCCCTTTACAGCAAAAAAGCCAAACCCTAAACCTAAGTTCAACAAGAAGCGTCATTTCCACCATCAATTGGCGCAACCTGACGATATTGCAGGCCATGTAGTCGATGACCCCCCCGCCGTTACCCATTCCGCGGCTTCTGATGACGCGTCTTCAATTAATCGGATGATAAATGATTTTAGCTCCGGCAATTACGTTAGCTTCCCCATCAGCTCTTATACGAGGAAGGAGTTGATTGATCTGAAGAGCCGGTTGATTTCAGAGTTGGAGCAGATTCGTGAATTGAAGAATCGAATCCAGTCGAATGATTTTCAGGCTGGATCCAGCTCCACGAAAAAGCCGTTGCCCAAAAAGAACATTTCTGGAAACAAGCGGCCTTTGCCCCCAAATTTCAGCAAAGAATTGAAGAGATTGAACCCTCAAGAGAACGGAAAAGCATCGGAGGCTTATTTGATGAAAAGTTGCTCCCAAATATTGAGCAAATTGATGAAGCAGAAACATGGGTACATCTTCAATTCACCGGTAGATGTCGTTGGGTTGGGTCTTCATGACTACTACGCTATAATCAAGTACCCGATGGATCTGGGCACTGTTAAATCGAGGTTGGCGAAGAACTTTTATGGGTCTCCTTTGGATTTCGCAGCCGATGTAAGGCTTACTTTTAATAACGCCATGATGTACAATCCAAGGGGGCACGAGGTTTATGCGTTGGCTGAGCAGCTTCTTGTGAGATTCGAGGAATTATTCCGGCCGTTGGGTTTGAAACTGGAGGAGCTAGAAGATGCACAAGAAATGGAGTGTTACGAGGAAGAGTTGCAAACAAGTTCGTGGGATCATGGGGAAGCTGAGAGGATGAAGAAAGATTGGGAAATAGATAAGGATGATTCAATTAAAATTGCAGCGAGATCTGACAATGTTGATGGGATTTCGGGCTATGTTTCGAACCCAAATCCACCGCCAGCGCAAATGCAGCTGCAGCCGCCGCTGCCACCACCAAGGATGGCTTCTCCAGTTAGGGTACCGCCAGTGAAGCCAGTGAAGCTGCCGAAACCGAAGGCCAAGGATCCGAATAAGAGGGAAATGACTATGGAGGAGAAGCAAAAGTTGGGGCTTGGATTGCAGAGCTTGCCACAAGAGAAGATGGACAATGTGCTTCATATTATAAGGAAAAGGAATGGACAATTGACGCAGGATGGGGATGAGATTGAACTGGACATCGAGGATATGGATACAGAGACACTGTGGGAGTTGGATCGATTTGTCACTAATTATAAGAAGATGGTCAGCAAGATCAAGCGGCAAGCATTGATGGCAAACAATGTTTCGTCTAATGACAGCAATAGAGTAAGCACACTAAGCACATTGCGATTGCTTTCTATGAAATTGATCTTTATTGATACACTAACCTGTGAATGATGGAAAATTACAGAGAGAGGAAAATGGGGAGAGGATGGATGTTGCAATGGAGATGAAGAAGCCGAAGAAAGGCTATGCCGGAGACGAAGATGTAGATATTGGAGACGAAATGCCAATGAGCAGTTTTCCACCAGTGGAAATCGAGAAAGACAATGATCGTGCCAGCAGCAGTTCAAGCAGCTCCAGCAGTTCAAGCAGTGGTTCTTCGTCCTCAAGCGGTATCATCACTCAACTCGGTTCCATAATTTGTAATGAATGTGTCAAATCTGTGTGATGAAGATGTCTCATATTTGTTAGGCTAATTTTACAGATTCGGAATCGGGGAGTTCTTCAGGAAGTGATTCTGATGGTGATAATGCACGGTCATAAGGCCTCGGTTTGAAGCACAAGCTTGTCTGCTCGATTTTGTGGGGGGCAATCCAAGAGGAGTGGGGATTTAGATGAGGTAGATTTACTAACAGTGCTAACAAATTAAAAGTTAGATATGGAGTTCAGCGTATTAAATGCTCTGAATGTATGAACCTTTTTCTTGTTTTGTTGAATGTACAGGGTTGGGTTGTTCTGAGTGTGTTGTGTGAATCGTGTAATGGTTGTTGCTCTCTTTAGAGAAAAGAGATCGATGAAATTGGCATCATGATTGTCAATGAATGAATTTGGGGGGTTTGGCAAATGTAGTGAAAAGGGGGTATTTTTGTAGGGAAGAAATAGTTTGGGGGGGGGGGTTAGAAGGTACTTTTGTATGCATACTTTGATTTTCAGCATCAATAGAGAGGCATGTACAATTCCAATCTTTTGCTTCTTGACCTATCGTTGTTGGTACTTGTTTGCATGGAATAGGGGGTTCAATCGGAGAAGTTAGAGAATATCCGATCTCAAGTTGGGTTCATAAAAACTCTTATAGCACAAATGGTAGGCTTTCATTTGTTGCTTGCATGCCTCGTTCCAGTTTATTAAACCTGAGAGTAGGTTTTCAACTCTCTAACTTGGAACTCAATAATCAAACATGATCAACATATACAAACATAAAGGCTTTCAGATGCCGACAATGAAACACTTTGATAAGGTCAGGACCATCAAATTTACATTAATTAAAATTTGGGTAAAGTACATGAATGGTCCTTACTATAGAGTATTGTTTTATGAATGGTTTGACTATAAGTTATTTATTAAATGTCTCGATTATTAAAAGTTATAAAATGATTTTCTGATTATAAAATATTATTTTATTGAGTTCTTCAATTTTTAAAAGTTATAAATGATCATCATATTATTTATTATATTATTTCTCGTTTTCGTTAAAAATTGACGGTATTATAAGGTGAACGTTAACGTGCTGACTGTGATATAATAAAATCTAATTCTAAAATCTTAAACGACTATCACATTTTAATTATCATGTTAACATTCAATTTATATAAATGCCAATTTTTTATGATGAGTTTGAAACATAATGAATAGTTGAGTGATTATTTGATCGAGTTGAAAATGTGGAGATACTTACTGGGGGAAAAATAAATGTAGGCAATATGAAGATACTTACGGGGAAAAAATAAATGTAGGCAATATGAAGATACTTACTAGAAAAGGAGGAAGGAGTCAATATCAATTATCTGTTTTTACCTATTCAATTATTCTAAATCTGTGTAAACTAAAGAGTTTTAAATTGTGTTTTGTGTGAGTGGATTCTAACAAGAATATATATACTCTTTTAGTAATATGTAAATAGTTTTACATATATATGAGATATAATATAATTATACTGTGTAACTCTTTTAAAATTTAACTATTAAATAGTTTTACAATTTTTTTAGATAAGAAAAATTAAAAGCTAAAATTAATAATAGAAAATGAGAATATATTTACATCAATTAAATATATGCATAAAATTTATTAGGTTTATATTTTCAAAAAAAAAAATCGAATTAGCAAACAATTCCGTTGAATTAATTCAACTAATGAATTTAACAGACCGTGTGCTCACTTGGGAAACAGATGGGTATAATTTCGTAAGTTCTGTACAATATCGTTCTAATTGAGGATGGGGATATATAAATTTAGTGAATTGTGAGTGAGTGTGGAAGTAAAAATTCGTATCTGCCTTGGGTTGTGGGCAAGTAATGGATTTGAGACCTTATCCACTCTACATCTGTTCGGCCACTAACTATTCGCCATATAAATTTTGGATCATTATGTATTTTGATATATCATAAATACAATTTTATAAATCTTAAGATTTTATAAGATATGACTAATAATTTAACCAAATGTCATGTATAAATTTTTTTTATAATTGAAGACAATTGTTTCTCCTATCTCAAATTAATAAGTATGAGATGAGTGATAATTATCCAATTGGATAGTGAGTGTGAATATATATTTGAGAATATATTCGTGTGACTAGTGTGAATTTAAAAATTTTACTCATCATAAGTGATGGTTATAGATATAAAAATATTAGGTGACTATGAGATAAGGAAAGGGAATATATGCAATCGCCCTACCGTTTGCCATCACCATGCTCACCCTATAATATAGGGTGAAAAAGTTTTTATATCAAAACGAGAAACAGACATAAATAAAGGGCCAAGTTGTGAATTAAGCCTTTACGTTAATTTGATACAAAGATCTAAAAATCTAGTCTGCCGTTTACACTAAGGAAGCTTATTCCTAATCAATGGCGGATCTAAACCAAGTTTTCACCCAAATCGGGCAATTCCCAGTACTTTTGTCGTGATTTTTCATCTCCAAGTTTTTAGCTTCAGGCCCAGTTCTCCATTACGCTCAAACTCAATCAATCTTCGAGGACGAAGAAGAAGAAAAACCCAGAGAAATGGAAAAGCTGAAGAAGAAAATAGGATCGATTTCGTTTTGGAAATGGGTTATAGCTTCAGTCATCTTCAGATTGATTCTAATTTACTTCCCCCAAAACCTCAATCTGTCCTCTCGTCCCGAAGTTTCCACTCCGCTCACCAGCTTCCGCCGCTGTAATCTCCGTTCCTTCAGTATAGAATCAATTTCCCTCTTCTTTTTACTTGTTTTTTTAGCTTAATTTCCCTTATTGATTTTTCTTGGGTGCAGTGGCTGAAGGTTACTGGTTAAAGCAGTCGTCTATGTCTCCTTATGCAGGTTTTTCTCTTTTTTTCTTTGCCCAACATTTGCATTTTTTAGAAGTCTTCGTATGAATTCGATAAAATATAAAGTACTTGATTTCTCTCTGGTTTCATGTTTATCAGGATCTATGTACCATGGTTCACCTTTGTTATTGTTGCTTCTCGGACCTCTTACCGTTAAGAGGTGCCATTCAGCTCCTTGATAGACATTAACCTATAATTGTTTTTTTTTAATTTACAGTTCTTAATGATTTAATAATTTGGGTTTTTTTTGGTTGGTTCAGAATTGAAGGACAACCTAATCATATTTTGTACAGGTAGAATCTTTTCTTTTTTACTAATTTTGATGTGTCTAAACTTTAAAATTCTATTTGAGGCGAAACTTAGAATATATTCTTCTATGGACTTTAGAGCATGGCATTCTATTTTCTTAAAAGATTGTGTATTTGCTTGCTCATGCAGTTAATACCTACATATTTTTGGATACAGTTTGGTTTCTGTGATTGCAGATCTTGTTAGTGCAATGCTTATTCGTGCTACTGGGCAGAATCTTCAGCTTGCCTATCTCCGTACTTTGGGATCATTAGACCTTGTTAAGCAAATAGAAGGTTCAGGTAAATTCTTTACTCGGAATTTTTAGTAAGAGGGAAAATAACAGACTTGTATGCATTCTTCATGTAGTTATAGTTAATTGCTTGTTAATTCCTCTCTTTTTCTTGTCCGAAGCTGATGAACTTATTTATTGTTTTTCAACCAGAAATCCACCCTTCGGGGGATGTTGCCGCCCTTATCTACTTATGTAATCCTTTCACAATAGTTGCATGTGTGGGCTTGTCAACATCGCCAATTGAAAATATGGCTGTTATTTTGTGCCTTTATGGAGCATGTTCACGTAAGAGACTTTTAAAAGCTGCAATATCCCTCCTGATAGTTGATTGCTGTGCTTTTATGTGTACGTGTGTATGTTAATTTTCTTTGAAGACAATTCTATTTGTCTTGATTTCTTCCAATTCTTGGGTGAGATTCACCACTTTATTCTTGAGAGCAGCATTCTCTAATAATCTTTAGAATGCTTATAAACCAAAGAATTGAAATTCATGCTTCTGGTGAATCAAACCCTTAGTATCTGATTCTGCTATAACTTATGTTCATTGTTTCTATATCATATCCTTATTCTGCTTGTTAAGCGTTAGACTTCAATTTGGAGTTAAAATGATATGGATGTTGAGCATCTACATATATTTGGAGTGTCTGTCAGATTGACATAAGTATCCTTAGAACATTTTGCATCCAGGATAGATGCTCATGCATCATACATATTTACGCTTTTTATGATAACATGTCTTTCACAATAAGATTCTCAAGTCTTATAGTTTTTTAGGGTAATTATTTGATTTAATTAAGGTTCCCAAAGTTTCCACCAGGGTAAATTAAAATGAACAAAAGTGTCTGAATTGAGAGACATCTCATTGTTAATTGTTACTTGAGAAACATAGGTTTACAATTTTTTCTTTATATCTTAAAAATGGGCAAAATGTTACTTTTTTTTGGATAGGTTTTGTAGCCATTAGTTGAAGTGTTTATATGTGTGCTTGTCAGAGATTAACTTCTCAAATTAGGAAGATTATGTAGGATCTTTGTAAATATGTTCTACTAATTAGAATCTAACTTTAAGGGACTAGAATCACTCCTGAAATCAATTACTTACCTAGTCTAGCAGTTTCCTAAGATAAGACATCAGTGTGTATATTTAAAATTATGTATTCTCTACAAATATCAATCAAATTTACAATAAATAAAATACCAATTTTGACATGGTATCAGAGCCTCTTTATAGCTCTTTTTCGAGACCAGTCATCTTCCTCTAAATCGTCCAACCTAGTTCTTACCATCCTTTTAAAGAGTAGATATGCCCAACGGAAATGGTGGTGATGAAACAGTCTAGTAGGGCAAAAACTATTCAAGGAGCACAATGAGTAAAGGAAGTCATCCTAACTCAGATAGTGACTTACAAAACATTCAAGCCGCCTATAGATTGAATGGTAAAAACTACCTCAAATGGTCACAGTTGGTTCGAACATTCCTGAAAGGAAGAGGTAAGCTAAGTCACCTTCTAGGAACAAATCCTAAAGAAGGAGACCCTAGGTTTGATTTTTGGGATGAGCAAGACTCATTAGTTAGGTCTTGGCTATGGAATTCAATGATATCTGAGATTCGTGATACTTGTATGTTTCTTAGGACAACGTAAGAGATATGGGAGGATATGAAATAAACCTATTCAAAGGTCCGAGATGTTGTCCAGATTTATGAAATCAAGAGCAAGATTTCATCTACTAAACAGGTAAGCAAGTCAATTATAGAATATTCGAACATGTTGCAAAATCGTTGGTAGGAAATGGATCATTATCAATGCATTCAAATGAAGTGTAGTGAGGATGCAATTCTAAAAAGGTTTGTTGAGAAAGAAAGGATTTATGATTTTCTGGCTGGATTGAACATGGAGTTTGATGCAGTGAGGTTTCAAATCCTAGGAAAAGAAGATTTGCCTTCACTAAATGAGATCATTGCTATTATTCGAGCTGAAGAAGGAAGAAGAGGGGTGATGGTAGTTGAAAATAGCCAAATTGAGAGTTCAACCTTGATCACTAGGGCAACAATTGAGGAATCAACACGCCTGAAACAACATACTTTTGAAGGAAGGCTAGAAGCAACAAGAACAGTTAACAAAGACTCCCTATAGTGCACTTATTGCAAGAAGCCTTGTCATACTAAAGATAAGTGTTGGAGGTTACATGGAAATTCCCAATCACCAAGCAAGAATTTTACAGAAAAAGGAGGTTTATCCATAGGAAAAAGTAGAGCCTATACAACTAAACAAGTTGTTAGGTTGAGGAACAATCTGCCGAGCTCAACAAAGAAGTTGAAAAATTAAAAAACCTATTGGAATCTCTGGAGAAACCTGCCTCTACAGGTAAATGTAACATAGTTTTCTCAGGTATATCCTCTTCCTCTTCTTCTTCCTCTTCACATGATTCTAATGTTTCGAAACTGTCCACCCACACGCCTACCCAAAATTCCTGAATAATTAACTTTGGAGCCACAAACCATATGACTAACTCCTCACTCAAATTCCTTACCTACTCACCGTGTCCTATCAGTAAGAAAATCACAATGGCAGATGACACTATCATAACAGTTGCTGGTAAGGGAGATATTGCCATAAGTAAAACGCTTTTGCTAAAAAATGTCCTACATGTACCAAAATTGTATACCAACCTTATATTTATCCAGAAACTTATCAAAGATACTAATTGCAATATTATGTTTTATCCTAAAAATGTTTTTCAGGAGCAAGAAAAGAAGAGGATGATTGGGTGTGCTAGAGAAATAAATGGTTTATACTACCTTGAAGAACCAAGTGGACCCGTTAGAGTCTTAGATACCCAACCTTTATCTTTCTTATCAGAATCTATAGCCAATAAAGACCAAATCTGGCTAAACCATTTTCGCCTTGGTCATCCATCTTTTAACGTTTTAAAGACTATGTTTACCTCCTTGTTTAATTCCTCAAGTACTGAACATTTTCATTGTGAAGTGTGTGAACTTGCAAAACATAAACGATCCTATTTTTAGCAAGCAATAAAAGGATTACTCGTCTATTTACTCTTATTTATAGTGATGTTTGGGGGCCTTCCACTATTTCTAACATAACTGGGGCTAGATGGTTTGTCATTTATATATGTTTGTACTCTGGTTACTTGGATCTTTCTTCTAAAGCAAAAGTCAGATGTTACCTCCACATTTAAAACCTTCTACACTATGATTAAAAATCAATTTGAGACTGAAATTAAAAGATTCAGGTCAGACAATGTCAAAGACTATTTTAACCAAGTCCTATCCCCTTACTTTCTAGAGAAAGGTATCATCCATGAATCATCTTGTGTTAACACCCCACAACAGAATGGTGTAGCTGAAAGGAAGAATGGCCATATCCTTGCCACAACAAGAGCCTTTTTATTTAAAAAAAAAGTCCCTAAACACTATTAGGGAGAGTTGTGTTAACTACCACATACATGATAAATAGACTACCCACTAAAGTCCTTGAATCCCAAAGTCCCCTCCAAGTCCTCACAAAGTTCTATCCAAATTTTAGTCTCTCTAAACCTAAAATCCAGAATATTTGGCTATGTTGCTTTTGCTCATGTACATTCTCAGGGAAGGGGTAAACTTGATCCAAGGGCACTAAAATGCATATTTATTGGCTACTCTTCCACCCAAAAAGGCTATAAATTCTATCACCCACCTACAAGAAAGTACTACTCCTCTGTTGATATAACTTTTGTTGAAAAAGAGAGCTATTTTACAGTTCCTTATCTTCAGGGGGAGATGTCATTTAAGGAAGATAAGGATGCTGATTTTTTCCTACTTCAACCCCTTATTGATTTCCTAAACCTATACAGCCTGACCAAATACAACAAACACAGTCTGCTCAGCCTACCACCACTCCAATTTCTTCACAAACAGAATCTAATACACCACAGCCAGCCGTCCAAGACACTACTTGTCCCCTACTGGTCTATTCAAGGAGGAAGGCACCTATGTAGATTCAATCATCCCCTTTTCCTGCTCCTGTTCAATCTGAGGTACAATATGAAACTCTTCCTGATCAAAATACTGCAAATGTTATGTCTGATTCTAATTTTGAGTTTCCCATTGCTATTAGGAAAGGAAAAAGAACTTGTACCACTAAACATCCTTCCTACTTATTTATGACCTACAAACACCTATCCCCTAATCATAAAGCTTTCCTTACCAGCCTAAACACCACTACAATTACCAAAACAATTTTTGAAGCATTAGAAAATGAAAATTGGAAAAAGGCTATGAAAGAGGAAATGGATGCACTGGAAAAGAATAAAACCTGGGATTTAGTGAAGCTGCCAAATGGGAAGAAAACAGTGGGGGTGTAGATGGGTGTTTACAGTTAAATATAAGTCAGATGGCTCTTTAGAAAGGTACAAAGCAAGGTTGGTGGCAAAGGGATATTCTCAAACTTATGGAATAGATTATCTTGAAACTTTTGCTCTTGTTGCAAAAATGAACACAATAAGAATTCTATTGTCCCTAGCAACTACTTAAGGATAAAATTTGCAGCAGTTTGACAATAAGAATGCCTTATTGCATGGAGATCTTGAAAAGGAAGTGTACATGGATATACCACCTGGATTTGGACCAAGTACTGGACAGACAGTTTGCAGGTTGAAGAAGGCTCTATATGGACAAAAACAATCACTTAGAGTTTGGTTTGTAAGATTTGTTAAAGTGACGCTAAAACAAGGATTTAAGCAGAGCCAAGGTGACTATACTCTTTTTGTGAAACACTCTTCTTCAGGGGGGAGTGACTGCACTCTTGGTGTATGTAGATGACATAATTGTCACAGGAAATGATATTGAAGGAATTGATAGTTTAAGGAAGTGTTTGATAAAAGAATTTTAAGTTAAGGAACTTGGAAGATTGAAATATTTTCTTGGAATTGAAGTAGCAGATTCACAACAGGGGATTTTTATATCTCAGCAAAAATACACTCTGGATTTATTGAAGGAAATTGGAAAATTGGGGTGTAAGCTAGCAGAGTCGTCCATAGAGGTCAATCATAAGCTTGGAAATTTAAGGGATGATGATGCAACAGTTGATAGGAGCTCATTTCAGAGACTTGTGGACGGCTTATGTATTTGTCACACACTAAACCAGATATAGCATATGTTGTTGGAGTTGTAAGTCAATTCATGCACAATCCTAAGAGTCACATCTAAAGGTTGTAACTCAAATTCTACAGTATCTGAAAGGCACACCAGGTAAAGGAATTATGTTTAAAAGAGGGGGGAAGTTTGACTCTAGAAGCATACACTGATGCAGGCTATGTTGGATCCATAGTTGATAAATGATCAATTTTTGGGTACTATACTTTCTTTGGAGGTAATTTAGTTACTTGGAGGAGCAAAAAGCAGAATGTTGTTGCTAGATCAAGTGCAGAAGCTGAATTTCGAGCTATGGCTTTGGGAATTTGTGAATTACTATGGCTGAAGATCATTTTGGAAGATTTGAAGGTCAAATAGGATGGGCCAGTGAAGCTATATTCTGATAACAAGTCAGCAATTAATATTGCCCATAATCCAGTTCAACATGACAGAACAAAACATGTTGAAGTGGATAGACATTTTATAAAAGAAAAACTTGAAAGTGGTCTGATCTATACTCCCTATTTGACAAATGGAGATCAAGTTGTAGATATACTTACCAAGGGTCTACCTGGTAAGTATTTTCAGAAGTTGACAGACAAGCTGAGGATGGAAGACATCCATGCCCCAGCTTGAGGGGGAGTGTCAGAGATTAACTTCCCAAATTAGGAAGATTATGTAGGATCTTTGTAAATATATTCTACTAGTTAGAATCCCTAACTTTAAGGGACTAGAATCACTCCTAGAATCAGTTACTTAACTACTTTAGCAGTTTCCTAAGATAAGGCAGCAGTGTGTATATTTAAAATTATGTATTCTCTACCAATGTCAATCAATTTTACAGTAAATAAAATACCAGTTTTGACAGTGCTGCTACATTTTAGTGTTGCTATAAATTTAAATTTTTAGATATTGTTACTTTTGGATCACCATATGGTAATTTTTTTCCTATGGATTTGTCTATTGGGATTATTAGCAGGTACCAACATATATATGGATTTAGTGTGTATTTTATACCTTTCTCGCATAATTTGCTACTCAATAATTATCTTTCTGGATTGCAGGGCTAATTCCCTTGGCCGCTTTTGGGTGGGTCATTGCAACTCATTTGTCTCTTTATCCTGCTATTTTGATCATTCCGGTATACCTCTCTTTTGTTTTATCTATCCGTATCCATAGAATTGCTTAACATGCGCAAAATAGTTTTCAAATTTCCTTGTTCAGTTTCCTCAACTTAAGTCAATCGCCAAGAAGTAGAATCATTGTGCAGTTTTCTCACAGGTGATCTTTTTGTTAGGACGTGGTCCAGATGCTCCTCCTTGGAAATTGTTTTTGCAAAGGCACCAACAAAATGGAATGTTGAATCAGTCGAAGCTCCCTCCTGGCTTCTCCTGGGGACCCATCATTCGTTTTGCATTTTGGTCTCTTGTGTGGTCAGTCTATGTGTTGGTTCTTTGTGGCATTTCCTTGAAACAGTTTGGTGGTTTATGGGAGATGTTTAAAAGGTAACGATCAAATGCCATATGTTTCTCTTTCTTATTGTATTGAGCTTGGGTAAAATTTGACGATTAACCCAAGGATTAATTTTCTCAAGTTTTATTTTTTATTTTCAATATTATAAACATCTTAGGAATAGTTGACTCTTTATTTTCTAGGCCTAGGACTTATATCAACTTTATATGAAGTAGCTGGAAACAATTTATCATGAATGCTGGCAAATGGCAACAACCTTTTAATTTGAAACCAAACTATGAAGTTTTGTGGAGCTTGATAAATTTATCCTCAATGATTTTCCAGAACTAAGAGCAGAATATTAGGTCATTTGGCATTTGAGTTAAGCCATATTTTATCTTACAAGATTGTAGTATTAAAGATTTTGATTGTTCATTCTATGTGGCTGGTTTTGTATTGTAGTACATATGGATTCATCCTCACTGTGGAAGATTTGTCTCCAAATATAGGTGTCTTATGGTGAGTTCAAATTTATCTTTGCCATACATCTTAAGTTGATCTTCACTGACAGTTTCATGTCCCTGATATGTTATGGCAGGTACTTCTTTGCGGAAGTTTTTGAATTTTTCAGGAGCTTCTTTTTGATAGTTTTTCATGTCAATATATTATTTATGATATTGCCATTAGCCATACGGCTTCATCACCGACCCTGTTACTTGGCTTTTGTATACGTTGCCATATTTTCCATGCTCAAGTCCTATCCATCAGTACGTTCTCACTATATCTTTTTGGTTGTTCCATTTTTTACCATTTTTTTCTTCGTAACTAATTTGTAAAAAATTTGAGATGCAACACCATCAACTTTATATATGTGACATGAGCTAAATCAATCACATACCTGCTATCTACGATAATGTAGTGGTTTCTGGACCAACTTAATATTACAGATCAGATTGTTCATTCTCCTAACCTGTGCTTTATTATCAATTAGGTTGGAGATTCAGCACTGTACTTGGGTTTGTTGGGTTGGTTTGTTAACGAATTTTCAGGCAAGTTAATGGAATCTTTTTTCAACATTGAATGGAATTTATAATTGTTTGATATTTTAAGCCTTATTTCTGCCTTACAGATATGCAATTCTCTCTATTCCTCTTCTGTGGATATGTCGGGGTTTCTCTTCTAAGCCCTGTCATGCACAACCTATGGATATGGAGGGTACATCTCTTCCTTTTTTAATGTCGAACGAGTAGAAGTCTATCATTCATTAGTACCTATGTTGCTCCGACTCTTCATTTTTGTTGAAGTACCCATGTTCAAAACCTGTGTCCGACCTATATTTAGACATGTGCATGGGAGATATGACCTTCCAAAGACTCTCCAAATACATGGAAAACCTTCTGAAAGATGAATATTCCCATATTGGACATGCACCCGAATCTTACACTCACATACGAGTCCGAATAATGTAGTTTAGTACTGCTATTGACTAGCTGAAATTTACAGGGCACTGGCAATGCAAACTTCTACTTCGCAACAGCTATGGTTTATGCTTGCTTGCAGGTGAGTTATTTTTTTAAAATATTTATAACTTGATATCAGGTCGTCGCAAATATAACTCCAATGTAAACAAATTAGCTTCCTTGGTATTTGTGGATGATTTTCCGAATATTTGAACTTATTATTTTCGAGAGCTTTGAAAGAAATTTGATAATTGATTCTATCTTTTACTTTGGCCTTGTTTTGCAGATTGTATTGGTCGTCGAGGGTGTGAGTGCCATGTTAAACCATGAAAGAAAGTTGAGACGCCTAATCACCGGCAAGACCCAAGACTCCAAATCCGGACTTCTTTCCGATTCTTCACCTTAATTCGGCACTACCAGAAAGATCCTTCCGGGCAGGTTGGTGCCACCATATCTTTGCTCTCACCACTGTTCCATTGTATCGAGATCATGCTTGCCTTCACCCCATGGAATTCTTCGGAAATGATCGTTCATTCGATGTTTGTTTCACATGAATGGTTTTCCATAACCTAAAAGTTCCTTAGAACCTTCCATCACCATTGAAGTTGTCAAAAATTCGTTAAAAATTGTTTTTAAAACCTTAAAGTTTTCAATAGAAAGTGGAGGCTTTTTCACATTACATGAAATATTTCAAGTTGTGTTCAGAGAATATAAGTGAATCATTCCATTCCATTTTTAAAATTTTAACTCATTAGAATTTGTTGGTTGGATCCAGAACCTGTCAAAGGGTCGGATTGAGTCATGATCCGAATTATATATTCTATCTAAATAAATCAAATAAATTAATATAGTATTTTTTTTGGTTGTCTTTCAGATTATTATGGTTTTGTCTTGATTAATTTAGACCGACATGGGTCGCGCATATGATTGTGGTGGACAATTATCTTGACAGAGATTTTCTGCATACATAAACTCGAACTCGAGACATGTTTAAGTGATATCAAACTATTTACCATTTGGATCAATTTTGTAAATAAATTAATATAACATTTTCACTGAAATATTGTATCAGTTAATATCACATTTCAAGAACTATATTTTTGAAGTAATTCTATATTTCGTGTGATTTGATATATTTAGGGATCATAAACAGTGGAGTAAGAAATTCAAAATTATGTTATAAATTTAAGTTATAACATTTAAATAAAATTATATAATTTTAAAAAATATATACAAGACCGATTTCTTTTGTTAAGGGAGTCAAAATCTTTTTAAAGTGGTGTCATTTTGGAAATATAAAAATTAATTGACTTTTTTTCTTTTAAAAATTTTGAGGTGTCATTTGACACCTCTCGTCATATACCCGTTCCGCCAGTAATCATAGGTCAAGTTAAGATTTGATTTCTTTAAATTTGATCCACCATTCCTCATCTAATTTAATTTAATTTAATTTAAATTCTTTTATCTTACTCAAAATATGACATATTTTTAGAATCTATATCTAATTCGATATATGTATATATATATAATTTATTTGATAAAATAAAGATCTAATTTAAAGAATATAGAGATTAGCATGTGATCGAGTGTTGATACAAGAGGTTGAAGTTTAAAAATTTAAATTTAAAAGATTAAATTCGAATTCTACTACTATAACTCTTTATTATTTATCACTAAATGTTCACATTCTCACATTTTTAATATTCAAACCTAAATCCGTAAAAATAACAACTCTTTTGCTATTGTTTTTATTGGAGTTTAGGTCAAATAGCCATCCTAATCTTAAATGGCGATAATATCCATAGTAGGATTTGATATTCGCATTCAAACCATTTGAAGCCACTTGTGATTTGAGGAAAATAACTGTCCTCCATCGTCCACGCGAAAAGATTTCCCACTTTCGTCTGTATCCTTCCGTCAGACCAGCAAAATAATTCCCGGCCCGCACATACAGAAAAAAAGCAAGGAGAGAAAATCGGAAAACCCTAGAGAGAGAAAGACAGAGGAATGGACAGTAACTCCACGGAGGCGGAGCGGTGGCTGACCATAGCAGAGAAGCTCCTCGCGTCACGTGACTTCCACGGGACGAGAACCTTCGCCATTCGAGTTCGAGAATCGGCCCCCGTCCTCGCCGATCAAATCCTCGCAGTGACAGACACTCTCTTGACCGCCCAAGCCAACCCTCACGACTGGTACGGCATACTCCAGCTCGTTCCGTTAACTCAGTCCATGGAAGTGGTGGGGAGTCAGTACAGGAAACTCGCCATTCTTTTGAATCCCGCCGAGAACACGCTCCCTTTCGCAGATCAGGCGTTTCGGTTCGTCTCCGAAGCTTGGAACGTGCTTTCGAATTCATCCAAGAAGCTCATTTACGATAACGAGCTGAGGTTCCTTCAGTTTGGTCAGGTGAGTCAATTCAATCAACTCGGTCAGCTTGGCCAACAGCATTATCAGCAGCAACCGGAACTTCAGCAACCGCAAACGCAGATGCTGTTCATGCAACCGCAGCCTCCTCCGCCCAAAGAAACACAAACGCTATTTATGCAAACGCCGCAGAAAGAAACGCAAACGCAAGTTACGCAATCACTATTTGTGAGAAGCCCTAGGAGTAATAATAAAGATGGGAATAACGAATTAGAACGAGCAGGGCAGTTGGGTTTAAATAATACTCCTCCGGAATCAACTCGGCCGGGTGAGTCAGCTTGGACGAGGCAGATTTATCAGCTAGGTTTAGCTGAGCCGAATCAGATGAATCAGACAGGATCAGTTAGTTCAAGCCATATTAATTGGCCGGAGACTACACGGGCGGCCCAGATTAATCGGCCTGAGCCTATTCGAGCTAGCCAGGTTAATCAGTCAGGAACACCTAGTTCTGGTCACTTTAATCTGACTGAGCCGACTCGGACGAGTCAAGTTAATCACACAGCACCAGCACCTGCACCTCCTCCTCCTGCAGCTACCACTACTACCACTAAGGAGCATAGTTGGGCAGAGCCAGCTGATGTGACTCAGAAGACCGATTCAACTCGGCCGAATCAGGTTTCTGGGTCAGAGGGACTGACTTTCTGGACGGCTTGTCCTTACTGTTACGTTCTCTATGAGTATCCAAAGGCGTACGAGGACTATACACTGAGGTGTCAAACAAAAGAATGCCGGAGAGCTTTCCATGCGGTGGTGATACCTTCACCTCCTTTGAATGGAAAGGACACATATTTCTGCAGTTGGGGGTTTTATCCCTTAGGATTTTCGGGGAATGGTAAGAATACGGGCGGTAATTTTCCCTCTTGGTCACCTATTTCTCCCATGTTTACTTGCTCTGACAACAAGAATGCAGGAAAAGAAAAGAATCCCAAAATATCTGCGCCTAGAGTGTTCTATGATGATCATGATGTATATGTAGAGATTTCAGATTCGAGTATGAATTCTGAGGGTGATGAATGACCAAAAAATATGAAAGAGGAGTAAAACGGCGAAGAGGTGAAGGATTTGTGGGAGAAATGCAAAGAAACCATAGAGTGATAGAGTGAATAATGGGAAATTGAAAACTTGATGTTGATGGACATTTGAGGCCATGGATGACAGAAACTCCTAATCGCTTCAGGTTTTTAGGTTGAATGCTTTCTGTTGGTTTTGGCCTTGTACTGTAATCTGAAGTGATGTTTTGCTTGTTTAGTGGTTTTATTATTTGGTTGTACTGTAGTTCATTTGCCCTAGTAAAAGCTTCCTTATTGTATATGTTCTGTTCTCTATGATTTTGAATTTTATTTAATGTCTTTATTCTATGTTGTTTTGATGATAAGAAGAAATTGAGATAGTTGTATAGCAAGGGTATTACTTCAGGTTCTTATGTTCACTGTTATTCTGTTGGTATTGGCCTTGTATTGCAATTTGAATTGTTATTTTCAGTATTTTACTGGTGTAATGGTTTTATTGTTCGGTTGTGCTGTACTTTGTTTGCAATGGTAAGAGCTTCTTTATAATGTATAATCTGTTCTCTTTTCTATCTGGTTGATCATGAATCATGATCAATTTGAGGTGGGGTGGTGTATGATTTTGATTGAGTTTTATACAATGTCTATTCTATGTAGTTTTTGCCGACGAGAAGGAGGTTATAGTATGACTTTTTGGCTATCGGCTTGTTGAAATGGTTTTTAATGCAATGTTTTATGGGTGGTTTATTGTATCTCAGTTTAATGTTTATGATCAGTGTGAGCTGATTGATTTTTCGTGGAACAGTGAGTTGTTTTCTTGGCATTGTATTTGTTTAAACTTCTTTCTTTTGTCGAGAGGGTTCATTGCTTTAAGAAGTTATTGTTTCAAAAATGTTGATAATGTGTTGGAGTATCTCTCAATTGCTTGGTCGAAACCCCCAACAATTGGAAGGTATTGTGTTATCGGGGTGCTACACGCTACCGTTTTAGCCTCTAGATTTTATTTCCTGACCCTTAGGAGGATCCAAGAAGTGCCTCGGATGGGGAGAGCACGGTCCTTAGATCATACTGTACTTACATGGCTTATATCGGGTGTTAAGCTATTGCATGTGGTTCATCCTGGTTTATTTGGGTGGAGAGCCACGAGGACCCAATTGAAGTGTTTGTAGACTTGGAGGACCAAATTGGAGAGATAGTGAACCTTGGAGGACCAATTGCCATTGAATGGCGCATTTGGTGTCGAAATGTGTTGGGGTGAATTGTTGAGCACTCCTGTGCGGGGGACTATGGTAAGTACAACATGATCTACGAACTGTATTCTATTCAACCGAGGTGCTTCTGGGGTGTTGGGAGACAAAATTCCGGGGCTAAAACGGCATCGTAGGGAATCTCGAGAACACAATACCTTCCAATTGTTGGGATGGTATCGGGAGATCCTCCAACAAGATGGACTCTTTGGCTTCTAGAAAAGTGACTATCTAGTATTATCTGGTTTTTCTGGTCATTGTTGATTGCTTGGAACGATGCTGATTGTCTTATAAATGTGGGGTTCTATGTTACTCGAGATGAGTCTCAGGTGTGTGTGCGCGGTCTATGTTGTATATTTAGAGGACCATATCTTCATTAACTGAAGAGTTGGAGTAACAATGGTGGCTTGAAGACCTTGTATCTTTCTGGATCAAAATAAGATCTTTTATCTTGGACTATGGTCCTATGGATATAGTATTTAAGGCATGTACATCTTAGGGTGCATCAATGATCTAGATTTGGGATTTCGCAAGATGGTCAGAAGAATGGTCTGAAAGATTGATCACATAAAGGTGAATTATGACTCAACACTTTGTTGCTTCACTTTTTGTTGGGTTCATATGTGTGCAGCATTTGTGTTCTAATTATTTTGGGACAGAATGTGCAAAACCTTTATATAAAAATGTATGTTGGACAAATATCTGTATCCGATGCTTATTCTTGAATGCGAACGACATAATTGTTTTATTTAAGGAGGACTATGCAAGTTTCAGTGGTTTAGAGCATCCTTGTCCGGCCACAACTGAAGACACGTGCAGCTTGTTAAATTTAAGATCACAAATTACCCAGGCTTGTAGAAAGCAGTATTGATAATGTTAACATGTACGGGAGATCTCATCTTTATTTTGATTTCAAATAACATCACATCGATCATAATTGATATGGTGATGTGTTTTTAAATAATTTGATAATTATTTTTATCATTTAAATATAATTCAATATCCTCTGATATAATTGACTGTAAATTCAAAGTTCAAACAAGTGTCTCTCACCATTTTAACTTGTCCTTGCCTACTATCACTCATTCCCATATTAAAACATTGGAACTTTTAAATGACAATAATACCCGTATATGGTTAGTTATTCATACCCCATCCATTTCAACAGAAACAACTGTCCTCCGTCATACCGGATACCAGACACGAGCTTTATTTTTTTTTTGTCAAGAAGACAAATAGATCCCACCATTCAAAGAAAAAAAAAAAGAGAAATGGAAACCCTCGAGAGAGAAAGACTGGTAAGAAGATGGACGACGGCAGCAACACCGAGGCGGAGCGATGGCTGAACGCAGCGGCGGAGCTCTTCTCTTCTGGTGACTTCCACGGAACCAGAACCTTCGTGATCCGAGCTCGAGAGTCGGCACCCGTCCTCGCCCACCAAATCCTTGCTGTCACCGACACTCTGTTAACCGCCCAAGCTAACCCTCGGGACTGGTACGGCATCCTCCAACTGGTTCCGTTAACTCAGTCCGTGGAAGTCGTTGAGAGTCGGTATAGGAAACTCGCGATTCTGCTCTGGGAAGAACACGCTCTCTTTCGCAGATCACGCGTTTTGGTTCGTTTCGGAAGCGTGGAATGTGTTGTTGAATCCTTCTAAGAAGCTTGTCTATGATGACGAGTTGAGGTTCCTGCAGTTTGGTCATGTGAATTATTCTGCTGGGTCAAATTGGACGAGGCAGATTAATCAGACAGGTTTAACTCATCCGAGTCAGATTATCCAGACAGGATCAGTTCGTGCCAACCATATTAGCTGGCCGGAGCCGACACGGTCGAGCCAGACCAATCGATCTGAGCCTATCGGGTCCAGCCAGATTGATCAGACAGAGTATAGTCGGATTGAGCCAACTCAATCAGGTCAGATTAATCACTCGGCAACTCCTGCTCCTACCAAGGAGGATAGTCGGACTCAGACAGAACCAACTGGTGCCACTCGGGCTAGTCAAGCTACTCAGTCCGAGGTACCGGAGAACAATTCGACTCCGGCTAGTCAATCTACTCAGTCAGAAGGATCGACTTTCTGGACTGCTTGTCCACACTGTTACTCTCGATTTGAGTATCCGAAAGTGTACGAGAATCGTCCACTAAGGTGCCAGACTAAGGACTGCAGGAAATCTTTTCAGGCGGTTGATACCGTCTCCACCAGTTCAGACAGAGCCAAGTGGTCTGACTCGGAATACCTTTTCGACTCAAGCTAGTCAATCTACCGAGTCGGCGGGACCAACTTTCTGGACTGCTTGTCCTTACTGTTATGTTCTCTATGAGTATCCGAAGGTGTTCGAGGATTACACGCTAAGGTGTCAGGCTAAGAACTGCAGGAGAGCTTACCACGCAGTTGTGATACCATCACCACCAGTGAATGGAAACGACACGAACTTCCGCTTCTGTTGCTTTTTTCCGATAGAGTACAACGGTAATTTTCCAAGTTGGTCACTTATTTCGACCATGTTTGCTTGCCCTGACAACAAGAGTGCTGGAAAACAAAAGATTCCCCAGAAGTCTGCTCCGAGAGTATTTTATGATGAACAAGATACATATGTGGAGATATCTGATTCGAGTGTGAGTTCTGATGACGACGATGATGACTGGAGAAATGAAAAGAGGGAGAAAAAGGTGAGCAATACCAAAGGGAAAGGATCTCGGGGGAGAAGTGCGAAGAAACAGCAGAGTGAGAGAGTGAAGCAGGGGAGTAGTGAACAAGTTAATTCGGATCATGGTGGGAACCTGAGTGGTGTGTCTATGGCACCGGAGGGTGTGCCAAGTGCCGAGTCGAGCAGAAGGGAGGTGACAAATAGCGAAAAGAAGATTAAACGAGGAATGAAGGTCTCGGAGAAGTTGGATTTGAATGTGGAGTTTAGGAACGAGGCGGAAGAGCCGGTCGGAGGGAGGAGTAAGGGGAATAACGCCGGAATCAAGGAGAATAACAATGAAGGGAATGGCTTTTTAGAGGGTCTTGATGAATTTTTCAGTAGTTTGCCTTTACTCTCGGTTGTCTGGGATGATAAAGTGAAGACTACTGAGTGAATTCAGATCCTTCAGCAGCAGCTTCAGAGTTCTTTGCTCGACTGGATACCCGGTAATAATATTACTAACCCGGAATTAGCTTCGAAGGTGCATTTCTGGCATTCTTCATTGCGTTCAGTAAACAAGACCTTATCTATAAATCAGAAATTTCTTTTGCAGGTTGAATACGTTTTTAATCATCGGCCATTGCTATGTTTGCGCCCTCAAGAGCACTCGGGAAGAAGTAGATTCAAGGTTAGTTAGAAAAACAACTTCTCTTATTTGTTTTGAGCATTTTGATCCATCTTTTTGCTTCTTCAGAACCAGCAGTGCACACATTGGTGAGAGAAGGTAATCCCACTCTCTTGGAGAGTTATGTTGCTCGGATTTGGGAGCGAGCTGACTGTCGAGTATGGATGTGTCCGACACAAGTACACCCAACATTTCTCGGTTTTCGAATTCAAATACATTTTATATATGAGTATCGGATTAGGTACTTGTAGGAAATATACGAAAGATCGGAATATAACATATGTGCCTGTTGTAAATGTTCCACAATTTTACTTTAGAGCAAATGGTAATATCACTTAGCCTCTCAATTTTTTAAAAATGTTTGTGTTTGACAAATATTCAGATATCAAGTATGATCATATCCTAAAAACTAAGAAAAACTGAAAGAGTATATCATGTCAAAGCATAACCACATCATTTGAATCTGCGATATGGTACAAGAACATGATGTAAGAGACACTCATAGCAATATGATTATATGATGTACGTAAGCACTACTAAAACTATGAAACCATCCAGAGGATTTTCAAAAGCTAATGCCATTACCTCGAAATTCGGACTGGCTCTCGATCTCTGGTCTGTAGAATGAAACTTCGAATGTTAGCATTGAATCAGAATCATTATCGGCCGGTGCACGATAAGCCCTTACAGATTGACAACCAAACCACTAGCAGTAATAAACAAAAAGCTGCATCCACAGCAAGAATGATCCGGACTTGGCGGCACCACTTTTTACGGATGTTCTGAGATCCAGGTCTGATCCTCGTCGAATCCAAGTCCTTCTGTGATGTGTTGGGCGAACTTGCTTTGTTTTGGTTATTCGAATCTGATGCAGTTGGATCGGTTTTCACTCCTCTATCAGTCGATTTCCGATGCTCCTCCAACTCAATATCTCTCACCGCAATCACATGATCCTTATTCTTCTTCTCTTGCTTACTCGGTTTTCCCAACAAAGGGGCTTTTGTGGAACTAGCAGCTTCGAGTTGGGCATTTGCATTGCTTGGAGATGACGGAATCTCAGTGTTCCAATCATTGCCACTATTCGAAACTTGTTCCAACGAAGCTATTAATCGCCGGATAACCGGCACTAGCTGCTCTTCGACTCCCATCGAACTCATACTCGAAAAACTACTTCTCGAACCCTTCCTAGTTACATTTCTAAATTCATCTCTTATGTGCTCTAGAAACCGAAGCACACCATGGTTTTCAACAGCTTCATCGGCAATCGCGAAATAAACACATCCGTCTTCGAGCAAAAACCCGAAAGTCTGTTTACCTATCGTCTCGAAATACCATTTGTGGAACGAGGGAGTCCTTTCCAAACACAAGGCAGCCATCCTTTCAACCTCGTGATCTCCCCCGCTGAATTCATATAGAATCCTATTATCCTTTGAAACACAACAATACTGAACTGTATTCCGAATCGATCCCATCGGAGCTCAAATCTTCAACTTCCAACTCGAATAAGGTTTCGGTTTTGAATCCGAAAGTTATCAACACTATAGGCAATCAAGATGTGGCCAAACAAGAGATATACAAAGCTCTCAGAGCGAGCTTTTAAAATGATTGAAAATAACTCGAAACTTCGATTTCTAACTCGAATAAAGCTTTCGATATCGAATCCAAAGTTGTCAATGATCTAGGCAATAAAGATGAGGCAAAACAAGAGATGAATCAAGTTCTCAAGGATCGAAATTAACACCTGGAAGAACACAATCAAGTCCTCAGCAACAATGTCAAAAGCCTCGAGAAAATACCAACACAGATCTTCTTCAAAGTACTCAAATTGAAGAATTAAGCTCCTCATGCCTGTAACTTCCTAAATACAATCACAATTAACCAATAAATTCAGTAAAATTCACACAAAAAGTTAAAATACAAGGAAAACCCATAAATAATTCTCAATCACAATCAAAAGATCAACTTAAAATCCTTAACTCCAAGCACAATAGAACAATCAAACTGAAAGAAGTTTTGAACTTTTCAGTCATTTTTTCTCTTCTAAGCAACAATCAAGCAAAATCATTGAAAGGGTTCTTTCCTTTAGCGATCAAAATCATAATTCAATTACCTGAGAACAAGATCTCTGGATGATCTTCAAACAATCTGGAAAAACTATAGAATCTGGGCTTGAGGGAGTTGAACCATAACGAAAGAGAAAGAAGCCTATTGGTTTAACCCGAAACTGAAAAAGAGAAAACCACGTATTTTAAACTTGTACGAGTGAAGTAATGGATTGTGATTTGATGATCTCTCTCTTCTTGACTGCTTCAAACAATGTCGTGTTTCTTTACGACTTTAAAAAAAAAATCCTTGGAAAGATCCGACGTCGTCTACTCATGCACAAGGAATATGTTTAATTATTTTTTGATAACTATCAATTAGTTTTTGAATTATTTTGTTTGTTGTTTGATCACAAATCTTAAAATATTTTATTTTAAATATTAATTTTATATATTAATTATTATATTACCAAATATCATTCGTGATAAGATCAATAATAAAATATTCATATTTCATCTATTTTTTTATTTAGACTAATTTATTTAAAGTCAACAAAATGATTCATCTAAAGTCTATTATTTTATTAAATTCTAATATCTAAGATCTTAGGCATGCCTTAACTCTAGATTAAAAAAAAATAAAAATTTCAAATATCCGCTTATATTTATTTGTTGGACTTAACTTTAAGATATATTCTTCTTATTTTTAAAAAAATACGTCAAAAAATTCAAATTTTTAAATAAACACTTTAAACTCTTTAAATTATTTAGTTAACGAAAGTAATCAGATTTTGTCTAATATTTAGCTTAAAAAAATATCTACATGTAGAATTTTAATTAGAAGAATTAAATAATTGATATGAATAGTAGTATAGATATAAATCTGTATAATTTTTTGGGTTAATTACACGGATGATAACTTATATTTTTTATTTTGTTTACTTTTCGTCACTAATTTCAAATAACATGAGATATGATCGCTTTTGTTTTTATTTAATTAAGATGTGATCACTCTAAGTTAATTGTCATTAATAGTAGTTAAATGTTTTGATATAATCACACATTTGGTATCTATTATTTACATATTCTCTCAATTTGGTCTTATTTTTAATACATTAAAATAAATTTAATCATTCAATCGAATGATTTCACATATCATGTCAGGTGTCACAATTCGTTTAGAGAACTAACTTTATTAATTTAATATATTTATTTTCATCGACTTATGTCACCCTCTGGATGAAAAAATACAAAAAAAAATAAATTAGGAAAAAAAAGATTCAAATCTTAATCGCTTAAGAAATTAAACATGTATCCAACCATTAAACAAAGACTGTTATTTGGTCTAAAGTAAACAATACTATGCATATATTTTGTATCTTAGTATATAAATACTTAAATTCATAATATTATATATATATTAACTTAAAATTTTCATATTAACTTATTAAATATATTTTTTTATTAACTTGAATTAAAAATATTTTAGTTTTTAAACTATGTATTTTATGTTAAAATTTATTTAAAAGCATGACTAAATTGAGAGCATATGTAAATAATATGTGATTATACTAACTATTACATCACATTTTCTGTTAATTATTAACAAAAGTTAACAAATAATGACCACATCTTAATTAAATAAAAACGAAAGTGATCATATATTTTATTTTTGAAATGACAAAAAATAGATAAAATATAAACAAAAGTGATCATACGTGTAGTTAACTCTTTTTTGTTTTATTGGTTTTATATTGGTCTTAAATTGGCAATACGGCATCGTTTTATGTCTCCCGGATAAAAAAAAATTTGATTATGGGGTTTTACATTCAGATTCAAAGACCAAAATCTCAACTTCCTCTTCCCCAATTTCATTTGGGGAGCTTTGGGTTCATTTAGGGATTTGAGAATATTGGGAAAATCAATGGAGGCTGAGGTGATAAAAGCAGAGTTGGTATTGCCAACGCATATGAGTTTCAAGAGGGTACAAACGTATGAGAAATACCCAAAGGGCCAATCGAAAGTTAGGTGGAAGCAGCTCAAGCAGATCATCCAAGCTGAAAATTACCAGAATTACGATCCCGATGAACCAAATTGTAAAACTCTATCGGATGAATATGCTGTTTTTGAGTTGTTTCATTGAAATTCCTACGAATTTGCTTAGTTGAAAGCCTTGCTTGAAATCTCTATACGGTGTCTTTTAAGAGGAATTCCATGTTTAGAAGCTTATGCTTTTGTTCTAATATTCTTTTTGTAATGATCAACGGTGATAAAGCTATTTCCTCTTTTATAAATTTGTATTTTTCAGATGTTAATATCGAATCACCGCCTTCGATGCAGCCGTGCAAAAGAATTTGTGATATTACAGGATTTGAGGTTTGTGGCTAACTGAATTAATCACTTGAAAGTTGAAACCTTTGATTATTTTTTTAAGTATCCATGCTGAACACTTGCAATTTGATCCCCAACTTACTCGTTTTGCTGAGTTGTATTCTAGCTAATTGTAACTTGAATAGATCATTTCAACTTTTGGAACATGATAAATAACAATTAACTCATAATTGCTGTGCAGGCACCATACCACGATCCAAGGACGAATCTCCGCTATGCCAATGCCGATGTTTTTAAGCTTGTGAGATCTCTTCCAAATGAATATGTGCAAAGGTATCTGGCTCTAAGGAAGGCGGCAGTTTTTTTGAGGTGAAGTTCAAAAATTTGGAGATGGACTTTGGTCTTGAATTGAATGATTTAGTTTACAGTTAGGTCAGTCTTTACCTATATGAATCATGGTAGATTCTCATGATGTTTCATTTACAATATGTTTTATTGATGGATGTAAGGAATGCCGAACCATGTATTCTGTTCCATTTCGTCCCTGGAAACCGAACTTTGGGTACTTTTATATGGCCTATGAGAAATGAGAAAGCTCTGTTTGAAACTTATTTGCTTTGATATTGAGAGCATCTTGGAGGCAAATCTCCATTAGTGATGACAATTGAGATTGCGGATATGGATTTTGCATATATGAACACCTACCAATGTAGTTTTGATCTCTCTCGCTCTCTTGTTCTTATCAGAAGTTCATCCATGAGATTTTGCTCCAGATATCTGTGCAATGCAATTGCTTATACTCTTCTTTTTTTTTTTTGGTTCGAGTGTCTGATATCCGGTAGTCACGTTGGGCTATGACTAAATCCTAGATTGAGCTGAGACCCTAAACCGAGAGGGGAGGGGCAAATTCTCCTAATGTTGTTTCCTTGGTCCACAAGACTCGAATCCGATATCTTATAGAACTCCTTGAGTTGTTGAGTTTCGATAGATTTCGCGTCGTGTTTTGAAGGTCTTCGAGGCTTTAACCCAATTTAAAACATTTATAGCTCACTCATCAAAATAGGTTTCATTGTACATAATTACTGTTTTGTAAGATCATGTTTGAATATGTATCCTTTACAGAAATTGTATATAAATATCTTGAGCAAAATGAAAATCTCGAGCTATATAGGTGACACGTATCATAGGATAAAGTTATTTCTTCAATGCCCAAGAATTTCCTCTTCTGTCGAACCCAAAAGTCAAAAACAGTCGTTTTCTCGAGGGAAATTGATCAATAATTCCAAAAGAAACAAACAATGATTCATCATCAACTTGGCCAAGGCATTAATGATTGTTGGGATATTGTTTTTGTTCGGACAGTCGATTACCATGTCTTCCCCAAACCTCTATTTGATCTTCCCCGTCTCATCGGTGTTCGGTTTCCATTTATGGATCTTAAGATGTCAAGAAATTACATGCAACCCCAATGATTTGAAAGCGATTCTCAAGCTGTCTGAAACCACATGTTCTTGGATGGAACAACAGCTCTGTTCCAGATTGCAGCACTTGGACCTGTGTCACCTGTGACGATTGCTCGAGCAAAAGAGTGGTAGCTTTAGAACTCGGTGAGAAGAATCTGTATGGAACAGTCTGTGATTCCATTTCAGGCTTGGACCAGCTTAGAATTCTGAACCTTTCTCATAATTACCTCCGTGGTACCCTTCCGACTGTTCTGTTTTGCTTGAAGAACCTGGAAGTCCTCGACGTAAGCGACAATGGTTTCGTCGGAAGAATCCCAGAAGAACATTTATCAGGTATCTGGTATGTTAATGTTTCGAAGAATGGTTTCTTTGGTTCTACAGGTGGAAATCTATGCAAGAACTCATACCATATCAAGATCCTTGACATATCAGTGAACAACTTCTATGGGGAAGTTCCACAAGGTGTGGGAAACTATACTTCATTGCAGTGCCTCAGGCTCAATGGGAATAATTTTAGGAGCTTACCAAAGGGTATCTTCGATCATCTCGGCCATCTTTCTAGCCTTGTTGAATTGGACATCTCGGCCAATTCGTTTTCGGGGGCTCTCCCGGATGTGTTTTGCGACCTAGGAAAGCTAGAGAAATTCTCTGCAAGTTCAAACTTTGCCGGTCTCGTTGCTCAACTCTCCATCGATTACGAGCCTTGATCTTCACAACAACAGCTTGAACGGTCCAGTTAACCTCAACTGTTCAGCCATGGTCCATCTCAAGTCGCTTCACCTCGGCTCTAACAATGTCAATGGTTCAATCCTTCAGAGCCTTTCCTCTTGCAAGAACTTGACCATTGAACCTTGGCCGCAACAACCTCGACAGTCAACTCCCTGTAAATTTTAAGAATCTTAAGGCCCTCACAGTGCTCTCACTCTCAAGGACCAGCCTTGTGAATCTCTCATCTACACTCAACATTCTGCAGCACTGCAAAAACTTAACTGTTTTGCTACTTAGTGAAAATTTTCAGGAGGAAGAGATTCCCAGTGATCCTGGTTTTCGATTTAGGAGACTCAGGGTATTTAGCATTGCCTATTGCGAACTAAAGGGATCAATCCCACCGTGGTTTCTCGGCTGCACCGGGTTACAATTCTTGGATCTGTCGAGGAACCATCTAGCCAGAACCATTCCATCATGGTTCAACGAGTTCAAGTACCTTTTCTATGTCGATTTGTCGAATAATTCATTCACAGTTGAGATACCGAAAGAGTTATACAAGCACTCATTGACATGAACATCTCATTGGAAGGGCCTTCATTAGGGTTCCCTTTATTCAGAACTAGTTCAGATGGTGCAACGTTTCGTTACAACAACATTTGGAGCTTCCCACCAACATTGGACCTGAGTTACAACACGATAACCGGACCTGTTCGGCTGAGTTTCGGGGATTTGATCAGGCTCCATGTGTTGAACCTCAACTAGAACCGGTTGACAGGATCAATACCGGAGAGTCTGCCGGGGATGAAAAGCTTGGAAGTTCTGGATTTGTCGCATAACAGATTGTCCGGAAGCATACCGGTTTCGCTCGCGGAGCTGAGTTTTCTGTCGAAGTTTAACGTGGCGTATAATGAGCTTCAAGGGGAAATTCCCATGGGGAGGTCAGTTCATGACTTTTCCACATTCAGCATCGAAGGGAACAGTGGACTTTGTGGTGGAGCAAATGTTCCATGTCCGGTTCGACATGGCACCATCGATGAATCTACAGGCCATGAAGGAATGACAGTGTCCGGTCCTCAGTTCGGATTTGGAGTTGCCACTGGTTTTGTTCTTACAGTTACCGTCTGTTTTATGCCTGGTTGGGTCCTTCCATCCAAGAGAGAGAACCAACTGATTGTGTATTGAAGGTCTAACTAGCTGATTCGATCTTCTGTCTAATTTTACAATATTGATTATAATTAAAATTGTGTGATGTATATTTAATTTTTTACATTATAAGTTTTAATTCAGTACGTTAGTACTAGAAACTTCATTAAAATTCTAAAGCACAATCGCTAGCCGTTGGTTCAAATAAAAAAATATATCATCTTATACGCATAATCTCGAGATATCATACTTTTCCTTTTTCTTTTTACTCATAACCTCCTTTGCTTCTTTTTCCCTTCCCGTGGGTCTGCCCTTGTTCTTCTTCCTTTATTCTTTTTGTACCCTGGAGCTCTGGTGACCACGAATAATTTATATTAGGAACATTCTAAAAACTTCAATTAAATTTTGGTTAAACTACACATTTAGTACATAGACTATCAATTTTGGTTGTTTTAATATCTAAACTTTCAGTTTTTTTGAAATCATACCTAATGTTTAGTTTTTATTTCATTTTAGTACCCGTCGTTAAAAACTTAACGTTAAATTTTGAATGAGAGTACTAGAATGAAACAAAACTAAAGTTTTAAATGGCGAGATATGGTTTTAAAAAAATTACAAGTTTAGGTATTAAAACAAATCAAAACTGATAGTTTAGGTACTAAACGCATAATTTACCCTTAATTATTAAAAATAAATAAAATGAAATTTTTGAAGATTTTGAGTAGAAAACTGCATACGCTTGTTCTCTTGATATCCGATTAAAATTTTCAAAAAATATGAAATAAAAAATGAGTATTATAAGCATAAAATAGTAATATAAAAAAGAGCAGCAAGTGTGATCTTCACTCGGTACAAGGAAATCATTATGTCTTGTGATAGTCACCCCGTAGAGAGCATCGATTATATGGACGCTCCTTTGTATGAAGCAGCTGAAAGAGGCGACATTGAAGGATTCCACAACCGTGCGAGGTTTGAGCTCGAGCCGCTTCGGATCAATACTAAAGGTCAAACTCTATTGCACGTTGCAGCAAGGCATGGACATTCCACTGTCGTGAAATTTCTCATCGAGTATCAGGCAGGGACTGTCCGGTGCGACCCAGAACAGCAGGAAACTGGAGAGGATGCAGTGAGGACGATGCTTAGAAGGACAGATCATGAATCTAATACGGCTTTACATATAGCAGTTCAGTATGGTCATCGAGGAGTGGTGCAAGAATTGCTGGAGCCTGAACATCCTGATTTCCCATATTCGGTCAATGGAAAGCAAGAGAGTCCACTTTACATTGCGTCCAGGAGAGGAGATGGTCCACTGCTGGATATGATGTTACAAAAACTGAAATCCGTCGCTCATGGCGGTCCTCACGGTAGAACAGCCTTGCACGCAGCGGCTATGGCCGGAGATGCAGGTAATTCTTTCACTCATCGTCGTTGTCTTTGTTTTTCACCCTTCCTTTTGTTTATAGGGTTATTTTCTTGTATCTAGAGGCAGCAAGAGTGATATTAGAGAGGAGAGGTAACTTGACAAAGGAAAGAGATGAAGATGGTCACACTCCTCTCCATTATGCAGCACATTTGGGTCACTCTTGTGTAGTGGAAGAGCTGTTAGAATGGGACAAATCTGCTGCCTATGTGACTGATAAAAAATGGGAGATGACACCTCTCCTCATGGCAGCTAGGCAAGGGCATGGGCAAATAGTAACCAAGATTCTCTCTGTTTGTCCGGATTGTTGTGAAAAAGTAGACAAAATAGGTTGGAATTTACTGCATTTTGTGGCGCTTAGAAATTCTCCTTTTTACTTGAGTCGTTCCATTTTCAAATACGGCATTGTTGCCGGTCAATCCCGATCAGTCAGAAATTTGGTGGGTGCGAAAGATGTCCATGGAATCACACCTCAACAAGTTTACGATGCATCTCCTTTCAATGTCTTTGCTGTGTGGAAGGTCTATAACAATACGCCTAGCAAGAATATGGTAAGTCCCAACTCTAATTTCATCATGTTCATTGTAACATTTGGGCTATCGGGGTGGTAGATGATTCATTCTTTTTAGTCTGAGCAGCTGTGATACAGGAGATGAGGGACAAGTGAGGAAGTAGTTTGCCTCTTTTTATCTCGATCTTGATTAAACTATTTATAGTGACTTTTAATATTAGTGTTAGATGTAGGGTCACGATTATCATTTATAAGTTGTCTGTTCACACAACATAATTGGCTAACGTGGTAGGAAGAAATCGGGAGATTGTCGGAAGATATTGGAAAAGAAGTAGTGGCAGAGAGACCGGTTCGTCCAATTGTCCTGCGAAATGTGTCTGCAGACAGGCTTGAGAAGGCAAGAGATGCTCATTTAGTGGTGGCGGCACTTATAGCCACCGTCACATTTGCAGCTGCAATAACTGTCCCGGGTGGTTACAACAGTGACGAAGGTGAAGACCAGGGCACTCCTTTACTGATTCGTGATTCCGCCTTTCAAGCATTTGTTGTATCAAACGCATTGGCCTTTGTTTTCTCTCTTTGTGCCGTCGCCACACACTTCGACACGCTACCTCCTGTTTCCTCGAGTACGCGTGATCCGCCGTCACTTGTGGTGGCCGCAAGGAACCTTTATTATGCAATGGTGGCGACCACGGTGGCTTTCAGCACCGGCACTTATGTGGTGTTGAAACCATTCCCTTGGCTTGCTATTACTTCATGTATCATCGGCGTTAGCTTTCTTTTCCCTAGAGCTTTGTACGCTTTATTTGATTAATTTGTGACATGAGAAGTATTGTAATATGATACTTGAACTATCATTATACGTATTATTATGGTAATTAATACTATTAATAAAAATTGTATCATTTAAACGATGGGAACTTTTTTAGGGTAAATTATGCATTAAATATCTAAATTATCAGTTTTAATTTGTTTTAGTACCTAAACTTTTAATTTTTTTAAAACTATGTCTAATGGTTAGTTTTCATTTCATTTTAGTACATGCAGTTAAAAATTTAACACATTCAGTATCTAAACTATCATTTTTGGCTTGCTTTAATACATACAATTTTAATTATTTCAAAACTTAACATCACATTTTGAACGGAATACTAAAATGAAACAATAGCTAAAAATTTTAACGGCGGGATACTAAAATAAAATAGAAGCTAAACTTTAGGCATGGTTTAAAAAAATTGAAATTTAGGTACTAAAACAACAAAAACTGATAGTTTACTTACTAAATGCTTAATTTATCCTTTTTTATTCCTTTTCTTATTCTTTTGCTTCTCGGGTAAACTCCATTGGTTCCTTTCCCCGTGCTGTGGGTCTTAATTTAATATAAATTCTTAATTTTTAATATATAAATTATCAATGTAATTTAATAAAAATAATTCTTAATAAATATGTATTATACAATTATATTGAGAATTTTTAATATACTAATTGCATTAGTATTATACAATTAAATATGTCATAATTAAAAGTCAATCTACAATCAATCGCGATTATTGCAATTTTAAGCAAAACATTCAAAAATAATATCACTATTTAAGGTTCAATCCCACATAGTATTGGAAACAAGTGTTGGTAATGCTCAAATCTCACATAGTATTAGAAACACTATTGGGAATGGTATTTAAGACTTGGCTTTCCCACTTTCTTGTTGAGTGATAGAGAACAAGGGGACTCTCGCACGCCGTCGCCGCCGCCGTCTCGTCTCGTCTCGGGTCGTGGTCGTACGTGTCTTCGACACGTCCGCGCGGATACTATCTTTTTAGAGAAAATTCTTAAGAAACAAAATCTTTTTTTTTAACTATCACAACGAATTTGGAAAATCGCAACGACAACTGTAGACTATCGCAACGCGAAATGAAAATCGCAATGCGATTTTCAACTAGCAACGACAACTGTAAACTATCGCAACGCGAAATGAAAAATCGCAACGCGATTTTCAACTATCGCAACGCGAATTGGAAAATCGCAACACGATTTTCAACTATCGCAACGCGAAATGCAACGCGAATTTGCGATAGTGGAGATTGCAATGCGAATTAGAGATCGCATTGCGATTTTATTGGTTATTTTCGCAAATACAAAAAAAGTTGGTCAAAATCGTATATTATCTGGGATTTTTGGTCACTGAGATTATTTTCTCTATTTTATACCCCTCTTCAAAATGTCCGAAACGATTGTTAAAACTCTAAATAAGAAAATGAAAAACTTTATGTAGACACCCGTTTTTGTCCGAATCTAAAAAACATTTTATCATATAATTATTTATTTATTTATTTTTATTTTATTTTATTTTATTATTATTGTTAATAATATTTTTTATTTTTTATTTTTGTAGGCCACATGTGTAACAACCTCACTATCCCATTAACCCCACTATCTCCACCTTGCACGTTCAGTTCAACTAACCCCACATGTGCCTTTCTTATTATTTAAATCACAGGGGGTTACAAACGAAGAGGAGGCAGGGGAGGGGGAATCATTTCGGAAAAAAGAAAAGGAAACAAAATGATGAGCAAAGTGGTATATTCGTAGTTCATAAACGAAATCAAAACAAGGAAACGAGAGGGTTGGATGCAATAGTCACCGACCAAATCCAATCCCAAATGACGCTTCTTCCTCTCTTCATAACTCGAAAGCAAATCTTCTCGATTTTCTCTACTCTTCAAAAGAAAATGGTCGGTAAAATGGCCATCATCGAGCTCAGCAAACAAACCCCAAAATCCAAATCCCCAAAATCAGTTCCCAGATCCTTACCAGTCTCTTTGGCATTGATTCAAACACCATTCAACTCCAGATATTTCCCATGGCGGCTCCTTTCGTGTCCCTGTCAAATGTAGGTTGGCTTTCAAGTCCAAAAACCCTGTCAAAGAATCAAACGCCATCGCCAATGAGCAATGCCCTTAAGCTTCCTCGAAAGCTCTCGGTTTCGTCTTCATCTTCATCACGCTTCTTCTCTGGGTCATTTTGTCTTCCCTCTCTTAATTCAACCCAGACTAATCCCCGTGTTCTCCGCCATATTCGGTCCAGTACTGAGGTGGCACCTGTACAATCAAAGATTACAAACAAGGGAGAAAGGCTTTGGTTATAAAGGTTATGCTTTCCATCGTGTCCTGGCTTTGGTTATAAAGGTTCTGCTTTCCATCGTGTCATTAAAGATTTCATGCTTCGGGATTTTGATAAAGGAAATGGAACTGGAGGCAAAAGTATATATGGACGTGTACCTTCAAAGATAAAAACTTCAAGTTGACCCACGTTGGACCCGGAGTTGTTAGTATGGCAAATGCTGGCCCAAACACCAATGCCAGCTAATTTTTCATTCGCACTATCAAGACACCAACAGTAGTCGATTCATTTTTAATCATACAATTCGTAATCTTCATGAAGATGGTATTTGTTTAATTTAATTTTATTATTATTTTTTAATTTTTTTAATATTTTTTTATTATTTCTTATTCAATACTTTTTAGGGATACTTTTAACCAATCAAAGTTAAGTAATTTGAATCGAGTTTTTAATTTTTTATTTAAATTTTTAATTTTCGCAATCAAGACAACCAACAAATTAATTGGTACTGAAATGGCGATTCAAGGGTGTTAATCATTCCTTGACCGTAATCGACTCCCGAACCCTACTTAACTATGGTGAAACGCGGATCAGGTAAGATGGTGTCTGATCTACCTAACTTTTGTATTAAAATGATCGATGGCGACTCCAATTCGTTTTTCCTAAGTCGAAGCCCAATTTCGGGGCCCAACCAAAATACGGTTCCGACACTTCCCTTGGGGGCTAAGTTGAACAACGATTCATTGGGTAAAGTGGGATAACGTTTGCAAGCCAAAGGACAATGGAGGTTTGGGCTTCTATAACGTACGAGTTCAGAATTGGTCGTTATTAAATAAGTAGTTGTGGCGTTATGGGTGCAAGCTACAGACGTTATGGAGAAATGTGGTAGATGCAAAGTATGTATTGGATCGAAAACTACTGATTTCATCTCCTCCTCAGCCGAGAAATTCTTCTAAAATCTGGAACAACATCACAACTCCGTTGTTAATGGCGGAGGATATCTATACGAAAAATACGTGTTTGGTTGTTGGGGATGTGACCAATATCGACTTTTGGAATGATCCTTGAACGGATGTGGGTTCACTAAAATGGACTTTCTTGAGAATTTTTGGTGTTGCTATTAGGAAGTTGGGTAAAGAGTTGGATTTTGGTTATTTTAAGAATGGTTGTTGGGTATGGAATATTGAGTTGAGAAGAGTGTTACTTTAGTGGGAAGTTACTATTTGGGAGGATTTCATCAACACCCTAAACAGGGTTGTTCAAAACCTTTCGATGAGAGATTACTTAAGGTGGCATGGTGAACCTAACAGCGTTTTTATGGCAAGCAGTTATTGTAACGTCACAATAAGTGACTGGAATGATAAAGATAAGGTGTGGAATATAATATTATCTAAACTTGTACCTGAGAAAGTGCATGCATTCGTGTGGAAGGCCGTAAACCAAAGGATCCCCACGTTCACAGAGTTAGCGAGAAGAGGAATGTCGAACCTCATTCCGCACCATTATAGTATTTGTGATATGGAGGAAGAGACAGTTGTTCATCTTCTCTGTCACTGCAACTCTGTGTGGAGAATTTGGAGTAGGTGGTGTGTGTTGTGTAACCTAAATTTTGTATGTCTGAATAATATAAAGTCGTTTGTTCTCACATATACCGATTTCTGCGGATCATAAGTGTGGGTTATGGCAATGTTTAGGTTTATCTGGACGATCTGGCTGTGTAGAAACGAAGCTGTTTTTAAACAAAAGAACTAGAATGAAAACAGAGTGTTTGATGCAGCAGGGGTGCGGATAGGATTCTGGTGCAAATACAAGTGCCCGAGCATGAACTTCTCGATTTCTAATTTTACAAATCTTCCAAATGCAACAATTCGAGCGCGTGGCGGGTAAAGGGTTTTAGGGGTGGTGTTGCTCATTTAGGTTCGTTCGGCTTAGTTGTTGTGTTCATATGTTTAGTGTGGGACGTAAGGAATAGTGGTCATGCTGTGTTCTTTTTTTAATGGGTGGATTGGTTGTTAGAAAGTTTTAGAGCGTGTTTGGGTGTTTCTTTGGAGGAGTTCTTGCTATTTCAGGGCATGTGGAAGGAGAGGATCGTCGTTGAGTTTGCTGCTACTTGTTGGTTGGGTAGGACGTTTTATTATTTTGCTAGTAAGCGTGTTTTATCTTCTCGGTGGGAGCATCCATCTGCAAATTTGAGTCTTTGATAGAGGAAGGTTGCTACTGTGTGTTATGTTGATTTGATGAATGGTACCCCATTTGATTGGTATAATGTTTTGAAGCCAAAGATCCAAGAGTAAAGTTACTACCTTGTTCACTTTGGTAATGGGGTATTTCTGGTTTGCTTAAGTTTGTGTGGAGAGTGCTGATACAAAACTGAGGTGCTCGAGTCGGTTGTGCCCTAATGATGTAAGGCTTGTTTTGTAATTTTGGTTCACTGAGAGGCCTGCTCTGTTGTCTTGTGTGACTATTTTTGCACGTGTGTTTCGTTGGCGTATGCTAATTTGATTTGTTTGTGTTGTTGTAATATTGAGTATCTCCCGTTGGACTTTCATGGCACACTTTTTTCCTCCATTTAGGCTTAGGAAGGTATTTTAATGAGACACATGAATTGTACCTTGTATTGTATGGCCTTCTTTCATTACAATACAAAATAACCATTTAAAAAAAATAGTTGAGTGATTTGATTGATCGAATCCAAACATTAATGGTCAAAGTGAACTAGAACAATAGTTGGGTGATCATTACCCTAATACATATAATGATGGTTCAAGTATCACATCTGATATTTCTTTTTCAAAGTACATACACCACGTTAAACACTTGAATGATGGAGAACTCGTTTTCTTCTTTCCTTGTTTCTCGGGTAAACTCCTTTGGTTCTTTTCCCTCTTACTTTGAGCCTAACTTTGTTCTCTGCTCTCCTTTTTCCCTTATTCTATTCTTAACGTGCAGTTACTTTCTTTAAAATTTCATCACACCACGGGTAAGACAATATTATTATAAATGATGGGAAAGGTTATATATGGATAATATTAGTATAAGAGATCCTGAATAATGGGGAAAAATATTAAATATCTAAATTCACATGATAGAAAAGGAAATTTATAATGTGGAATCTAAATAAAAGAAAAAAAAGAATTATACAACATGCACGCAAAGAACATGGGTATGAGGCTTGTGAATCTCATCCCTTCTTATACAGCACCATGTCTTGTGATATTCAACCTGCTCACCCCGTCGAGCACATCAATTATATGGACGCCGATTTGTATGAGGCTGAAGCAAGAGGCAAGATTGAAGTATTCGAAAAGTATCAAGGGTCTGAACTTGAGTCGCTACGGACCCCGGACAACAACACTGTGCTTCACGTTAACTTGGCCAGTTCAGAGTCGGATGTTGATGAGGCACGTCCATCAGTGGTTCAGATCCTGGAAAGACTTTTTTTTCAAACTGATCCAGTGGTAGTCAAAGCCCAGACTGAAAATTTTGTACAACAGATTCTAAGTAGGTGTCCTTCAATGCTGCTACAAGCCAATACTAAAGGTCAAACTCCATTGCACGTTGCAGCAAGCCAGGGCCATTCTACTGTTGTGAAATGTCTCACCGAGTTTCTGGCAAAAACTGCCCGTGGGATCGTAGAACAAAAGAAAACTGCAGTGGGGGCAGTGAGGAGGATGCTTAGGAAGACAGATATTGAATCTAACAACGCTTTGCATGTAGCAGCTCAATATTGTCGTGGAAGGGTGGTGCAAGAATTGCTGGAGTTTGAAGATCCAGATTTTTCATATTCCATCAATACAAAGCAAGAGGCTCCGCTTTACATAGCGGCTAGGATAGGAGATGGACGCATTTTGAATATGATTTTTCAAAAATTGAAATCAGACGCTCACGTCGGTCCCCACGGTAGAACACCCTTGCACGAAGCGGCTATGGCCTCAGGTCCAGGTAATCATTCTGCTCATCGTTATTTTTTCTGTTTTCAAAACTAAAAGAAAATAGTTCCATCCTTCCCTTTGTTTATCGGAACATTTTTGGCTTTTTTATCCCTTGTATTTAGCTACGTAGCATGGCTACGACAACTCAATTCCGTACCCGATACATCCCAAACATGGGTACAGGACGGATACAACTTAGGTATGTGTCAGGGACATCCCATGTTTAAGGTGTACGACTGAAATTAATTGAGTACACTATAGAGATTTTCGAGGACGTATCAGGCACGATATTTGATCTTCACGTACGTATCCAGGATTATTTTTAAGATTTAAATAATTAAAATAGGATATATATATGAATTAGGATAAGCTTTTATTTTTTTAATTAAGATTTAATTTTCTGTTACAAAGATGTATTCTTCGAATTCAGAAAGTTGGTAGACTAACTTTAGTGCTTAAACTTCATTGCTCCAATCTCTGGCTTTCAAAATGGACAATCTATTTCCTTCTCTTGTTGTGAAAGAAATTGAAATATTTATTCCTTTGTCCACTCAGGTCGAAGGAACGAGTTAAATTGGTAGTCACCATAAAGGCTAACAAGAAGAAAAAGAGGTAGAGGCGTATAAGTTCCAACCTCAATATATTTTCAGTTGAGAGTATTTACAGTGGTTTTTAGTGTGTGTTAGTTATATGGTCATGATGACTATTTATAAGTGATTAAGTTAGAGATATTTAGTGATCACACCTTGAATTTCACCTTGTAAATCATATGGATCTGTCAGGAGTCTTGTCTATACACTATAATTAATCTAAAAGTATTTGTTTAGTGGACATTAGCTTTTAAGAACTCGACAAACATGAAGATTTGTATAAAAATCAATAATCAATAAAGTATTGATAATTCCAATAGATTCGATGTGGCAAAGAAATAAAAGAATTTCGGAGGACGTTTCCGAAAGTATAACAATTTTTTTTGACAAATTTTAAATTTATTTCTAATTTTGGAAGGGAGACGAAGAAATGATAGAGAAAAGAACGAGAATATATTAGTGGATTCTAAAACCTGACTTACGAGAATACAAGAAAATAAAGATGAATAATTTAATCACCGAATGAATTCACTCACTGAGATTATGTTAGGACGTATAAATCAAATTAGGTCGTGACATAAAATCTCAGAATCGACTGGTTAGACCATTTCGTAAGAAACAAACAGTTACGTTATTTGCGCGACGTTAAAGGGAAATCAAATGCACGAATGAATTAGCAAAACATTCTAATTGGTAAGAGAGAGAGAGAGAGAGAGAGAGAGAATTAAAAAAGGTTTAAAATGTGAAATGAATTGGATGCATTTGGGCGCATAAAAAATATTCTTCAAGTGGGGGAAAGCTTGCTAGCACTATCTTTAAGGTGTTCCTAAATTGTTTTTTTAATCAATTTATTATTATTTTTATTGTTTTAAAATACAATCATAATTAAAATTAATATATCTGTATGACAACAATTATTAGAATCGATTATTAAAATGCATAAACAAACCGATAATAAACGAGAATAATGTTAAACAAATAATAAATAACAATAATTAAAGTCAAATATTGGGAAAGAGCATATTGTCACACTTAAAAAATATGAATCTATTAAGTATTTAAGCTAAAAAATTAAGGGTAAGATTTAATTTAACCAATATTTAAGAACTAATGTGGATGAAAACTCATATGGACCAAATTAAAAGAATATGTGGAATTCAGGGATTAAATGCTACTTTATCCATATTTATATGACAAAGTAGAAATACTGATCATCTCTGAGTCGGCCATTGATTTTCCAATGGCAAATGCATCCGATTCTTGCTCTTTATTCTATTCTATACAAGAATAAAGGTTTAAATATGTTTCTTAAAGGAATTTTGTGAATTATTCTACTTTATTTAAGTAATTTGATAATTCCATTGTATTAAAACAATATATTTTCATTTATATCCGAATAAAATTATATTTTAAACGTAATTTAATTTTAAATACAATTTAATATATGGCGGTTGCACATATAACTTGTCTAATATTTTCCTTTTCTGAATTGGGGTCTAATATTTTTCAAATGGTTGAATAAGAGTCTAATTTCTTAAAATTGTTGTAAAAATGTTACTCTTATTTGTAGGGTGTGCAAAACCGGATATTGGATCTGATCATATTCAAAAATTCAGATATACAAAAATTTTGGATACATAAAATAGTGATCTGTATCTTATCCGAAAAAACTAGATATGAAATTCGAGTATCCTATTTTTTCGGATCGAATATCCGGATATCCGAATCTGAATATAAAATTTAATTTGACAAAATATATTTAAAATTTTAAATTTTGTGATTTAATGTTATATATTCTATACTTCCAATATATATATATATTTAATTACTACACACAATAAATAATTAAATACTCTAATTTTTATTGAGTTAGAGCTTTAATGAGTTAGTGGATTACTCATTTATTGGGTTAAATGTATCTAAAATTTAAAGGCCTATTTTTTTTTCCAGATTTTCGGATAATCTGAAAATGGATTTTATCCGATTCGTATCCGATTATCTGATTTTTTTTTGATATCCGATCCGAATTATCCGAAAATAAAAAAACAGATCGGGCATCCGAATTTTCAGATCGGATAACCGGATTAGATCTTTTTACACACCCCTACTTATTTGAGCAGATTTTAGAATATTAAATTTTTATTCGATTATTTTAAAAGATTAAAGTTTTATTCAAAAAATTTAAAAATGCTACAGCTTATCTAATCGTTTTAAGAGCTTAAACTCTCATTGGAGCAACCTTTAAAATGTTACACTTATTTTAATATTTAGCATATCTTATATTGAGAATAATTTAAAAGCACGTGCACGTGTATTCAAGTTCGTAAGACGATTGACATTGTCGTTGGTGTATTATACATAAGGACGTAAGATCAAATATATTTAAATCCGTATCAGTTGTAAAAATTAAACGATCTCGATAGTAAAAGAGTCGTCGTTTTTTTTTTAGATATAGTCGAGTTCCATTATTATCGGTAGTATGATAGTTCAATCTCAAATGAATCTAAATTAATAAAAAAATTACAATATCAAAATAAAATTTAACCTTATTTAGTATCCGCTCGTATAATAATAATGTAAGGCAGTCGAAAGCCAGGAATGAACCAGCGACGTTGGCCTCGCCTTGGCCCTTTTTCTCTCCGTTCAATGTTTCCATTAAACCTCAAAAGAATATAAGCTTTTCTCCTGTTGACATGGATACAAGAATCGTGTGCCACCGTTGCCGGCAAAAGTTTACGGCGACGGCCAATGCCGAGGTAGTTTTTTGCCCTCATTGCCGTGCGGACAATCCGAATCGACCAGTTAGGAAACCGTCGTCGGCGTCTTCCCAAGAGCATGGGAAGACTAGTCCACGATTGATAGGTAAATCTATGAAGGAAAAACTGAGGAAATTACTGCACGGTGATGCCCCGAAACCTTCAACATCGCCGTCGATGACGACGGTGACCAGTTACTCTAAGCGTTGTGCTTTGGATGACTCCGGCGATGCAGTACCGGCGAACAAACGTGCGGTGCTTTGCGGCGTGAGCTACAAGAAGTGGAAGTATAAGCTCAAAGGGACCATTAACGATGTGAAAAACATGAAGGGTTTGCTGACTCAAAAGTATGGGTTTGAAGAGCAAAATATTATAGTGCTCACAGGTAAGTTGTTTGAATTAAATACGAATAAGTCTTAGCTAGATTTCACGGAATCAAATTGTGATTGCGATAGCGTCGTTTATATCGCTACTATGGACATAACTGATGTTATTGTAGTGATTGTGGATATCGCGGTCATACAATAACGGTCGCGACGCTATTTAAATCTGTTATCGTTATAATGATTTTGATTTATTCAACTGTAGAGGAACAGTTAGACACTCGACTTATTCCGACAAAGGCGAACATCGAGAACTGCTTGGGGTGGCTGGTGAAAGGTAGCCGATCAGGAGACTCGCTGGTTTTCTATTACTCCGGCCACGGATTACGCCAACCCGATTTCATCCAAGACGAACGTGACGGATTCGATGAAACCATCTGCCCGGTTGATTTCCTTAAAGAAGGAATGATAATTGATAACGACATCTACACCACCATCGTTAAGCCCCTGCCTACAGGTGTCAAGCTTCACGCCATCGTCGACGCTTGTCATAGCGGAACCATTCTCGATCTCGAGCATGTCTACGATCGACAAAAGTAAGTATACGACACCCTTGATATCGAACGAACTCATAATCGGGTCAAAATCCGAATCGATTTATCTATACCCATTACTTATCTTAATGCGGATTTTAAGCAGGGGAGAATGGATTGACAACCGTCCTCCATCAGGTGTGAGGAAACAAACTAGTGGTGGGCTAGCATATTGTATCAGTGCTTGCGAAGATGATCAAGTTGCCGCCGACACATCCGTAAGTTCGATTTACGAAACACATGATAACGATCCGTCGGTGTATCGAATATTAACCTCGTACATACTTACAGGCTTTGAATTCGAAGACGATGAATGGAGCAATGACATACGTTTTAATAGAAGTTGTGAGAGCAAGAGAACAACGAAGCATAACATATGGGGAATTACTTGAGGAAATGGAGAAGCGAATCGAGCAAGCTAACCAACAAGGTTGCTTGGGTGGTTCAGGAATATTAAGCAAATTGTTTGGCCCTAATCTCACACAGGTAGTATATAAAAAGACTCGAGTTTTAGATAAAATATCAATTCGATTCGATTTTTTATAATTCAACAAGTATAAACTATCGACAAAACATAATTGATACAGAGTTTTCTTTTGAATGTATACAGAAGCCTCTGCTTTCAGCTTCCGAAGAGTTTCCAGTTTACGAAAGGGAATTTGAACTATAGCTGTTAATCATTAGTTTTTGTGGCTGGATTAGTGGGCATGACTTCGGGCATGACGTATATGACGAGGCAATGAGTCAGCATCTTCCAGAAGGTCTAGTCAGCGCTTCTATAAAGACGAATGAGTCTTCTGCGTTTCTGAAATTCGAATACAAGTCAAACTCATGTTTTTAGGATATTAATTTAAATATTATATTATATTTTATCTTATCTTTATTTTTAGTATTTTAGTTTAAATAGTTTAAGTATTTTCATTAGGAATTATCTCTTTATTTTAAGAATTATATTTTCCTTATTTTTAAGATTAAAAGCTATAAATACCCTCTTAGGGTAGGCCTAGCAACACATTCAGAATTCATTCTCTTTCCTTTGGTTTTATAAAAGTTTTCTTTTCTTTTTCAAAGTTATTCTTTGTTTTATTTTTATTTTTTAAATATGTTATTTATGATTTTCATACTTAGCTAATTTCTCCAGTTGAAGCGACGACTCAATCCCTATTATGAGGATTGAAAAGTAGTAAAATAACTTCGAGTTATTTTCTCAATTTTCTGGATGAATAAGATTGACAATCGACCTATCTTTTTAAAAATCAAAACGCTTTTTAATCAAAAAGTAGACGTTGGCTCGAAAGTTGTTCTGATTTATAGTTGGGAGGAAGAATCGACTGGTAGCAAGTTCGACTTCGTGTAAACACACTTAGCGGCGGTCCATTAAGGGAAATTGAGATCGGGTTCGATTCTCATTGAGGCAACATAATCCGAGTTGGGTTTTTTCTAGATCTATAAAACAGTTTGGCGCTAACGACGATAGTCGTAGTTAGTCTCCGTAAAGGACTGCTATCCAAAAATAGATTTTGGGCTATCGATTTACAAGAGAGAAAAATAAGTTACAGTGGATGGACCCTGTAGACTGTAACCGGCGAATAACCAAAGCAAAAGTTTATTCATGATCAATAGGAATTTGAGGCAAAAGCTGAAGTCAGAGACTAATTTCCCTATAAGTTTATCTTTATCTCAATCACTTTAAATTTATTTAATTAATTAATTATTTTATTCTTATTTTTTATTTTAAAAACAACTTTTAAACCCCCTATTTAATGTCATCAAAAACTCTACCTTATCTGATCATTCTCTAAATCAGAAAGTTCACTTCATCAGAAACACCAAAGTCTCTGTGGACCGATCCTTCTTACCTACTCTACTCTTTCTCTCTCTCTTTAATTATTTATTTATTTTTAAGAAGCCAGAATGATTTTGACAATAAAACGACATCTGTCAGAGTCACTTAACTATTAGCTTGTTTCCATTTTGATCATTGAATTAAATTTGATCATTTTTGTCATGCTTGGATAGGGACGATGATGATGTGTTTGAAGATGAAATTGATGGAATTTGTAAATATGAAAGACTAAACTTATTAAATTGATTAGGGTTATTATATCAATTAAAAATGTGATACGTCATAAATTTCGTTAATGATTTAATGATATGTGATTAAAATGATCAATTTTTATAACGTTAATGATTAAATAAAAACAATTTAATAACTAAAATAAAAGTACAATAATAGTTTAGCAACTAACTGTGTAATTTGCGTTTCTTTAATTTATTCAAAATTGATATGAATGAACCATGAGAATAAAGTAAGAAAATCATTGAAAAATATATAAGATTAGGTGAAATTACACTAATTTTAGAGTTTCGTAAGTAGGGATGGTCATGAGTCTAGTTTAGTTAAGTTTATAACTCATCTGAGTTGATTTGTGTGAAATACTCCTTCACTTATCATCCGATCCGAGATTATGATCTACGCTTAAGGGAACTTACTGACATGAACCTTGACTTGACTTTTAAAGTAAAATCCTACATTAGACTAGATTTGACTCGACACGCGCACACATATTTTCATTTGTATTACTTATATATAAATAGAAAGTATTACTGTAATTATCTTTAAATATATAAAAGTTAAAGGTAAATTACGTGTTTAGTATCTAAATTATCAGTTTTGATCCGTTTTAGTACCTAAATTTTTATTTTTTTTCAAAATTATACCTAAAGTTTAGTTTTTGTTTTTTTTAATACCCGTTCAAAATTTAACATTAAGTTTTGAAGAAAAAAAGTGAGTTAAATGTACTAAAACGACCAAAACTTGATAGTTTAGGTACAAAACACATTAAGTTTTTAACGGCATATTATTAAAATGAAACAAGAACTAAACGTAAGGTATGATTTAGAAAAAATTAAAAATGTTTAGGTATTAAAATAGATCAAAACTAATATTTTAGGTACTAATTTCATAGTTTACCCAAAAGTTAATTATAGAATGATGGGTTTTTCATAGTAAATCCTAACTTGACTTGATCTCATCCTTCAAAAATAACCTAACTCGCTCTGACCGAATCTATATTTAAAAAAATCTATAAAATTAATTTAGATTGAAAGCTATCAAATTAGAATCAAATACTTATCCCTACTTAAAAGTATACCCAAGGATTCAAATAGTGGTCGAGTCGCGTTTTTTGCTATTGCGGATATCGCGGTCATATAATAACGGCCGCGGAGGACACTGCTACAGCTATATCGCGGGCGCTATCACAGTCGCAGACCGCTATTTAAAATTCTTGATACCTATCCATTATATATATATAAATTGATAGGCTCGAGTAGCAAATTCTGGTCTTCCATTCAGTATTCTGATATGATTGTATTGTTTTAAAGGATGGCTCATGATTAGAGCTCTCTTTTGCTTATAATCAACCCAGAATCTGATTCCCACTTTCGGTTCTCTTTTATTTTCTTTATCTCTTCCAAGTTATGAACACAGCATCCCAATCAATAATAATATTCCGGTTACATCGTATTTTATCGTGATTGTAGACGTAACGAACATTATTTATGAGGAAATAAAACATACGAATGATCGACAAAGTTACGTCTCGGATATCCTGCATGGCTATCTTTTCAAGAACTTTATGGATAGCAATCAAGTTGATTGTTAAAAAGGAATATTGTCAAAAGGAAAAGAGAAATTGAATCTGGTTCTCCACCAAAATTTTCTGGCCGGAATGAGTATTAATAGTCTGAAGCGATGAACCGGAGGATAAAAAGTAGCTTACTCGCCCCTGTTCCTTCTCACGATTCCACTCCCACCGGTCATTGCTGATTTAACAGCTAGCGAGTTGCTCGAAACGATGGCTAGAAGAGTAAGATGCAGCAGATGTGGGGTTCAAATGTTGGTTTCACCCGAGGCACGAGCCGTTCGTTGTTCCATGTGCCACGCTGTTACCGATCTTGTCATGATCAATGCTCGACCGGGCCGGATCGGGTATTTTTCAAGCATTAAATTCGTGATCATTCTTGTTTCGATTAGGCTATTGACAATTTGTGGGATGTTTTTAGTTATGATGGCTATCACGGGGCGCCAAGGATGCATGGATATTCGTATATGAATGGTCCGCAACCACGTCCCCCGCAACCGCAACCTTCCTTGTCTCCTGTTCCGGTCCACGGAAGAAAACGGGCACTTCTTTGCGGCGTGAATTACCATGGGAAGAGTTACAAACTCAGAGGAAGTATCAATGATGCCAAGTGTATGAAACACCTACTTGTGGAGAAACTAGGATTTCCTAATGAGTCCATTTTAATGCTCACAGGTAATTCATGTTGGACTCGGAGACGTACTCGAATTCGAATAACATAAATTATTATTATCATAAAACACTATGACTGAATATGCATATGTTAACTCTGCTTCAATCAATGTGCAGAGGAAGAGAGAGATCCTTTAAAGATCCCGACGAAACAGAACATCCGAAAGGCTTTGAGATGGCTGGTCTACGGATGCCAACCAGGGGACTCGCTAGTGTTTCATTTCTCCGGTCATGGCACTCGGCAAAAGGATTATAACCAGGACGAAGTCGACGAATTCGATGAAGCGTTGTGCCCTCTCGATCACGAAACCGAAGGGAACATAATTGACGATGAAATCAACGACACCATTGTGAAACCACTGACTCGAGGAACCACGCTGCACGGGATCATAGACGCCTGCTACAGCGGAACTGTTCTCGATCTTCCTTTTGTTTGCCGGATGAACGAGTCAGTAATTTATGAATAAAATTTCAATTCCATGCTGCTCTGATTCGATTTAACTTTTATTCTACACTTTGTGTTCAACTATGTAGGAAAGGGTATATGTGGGAAGATCAGACAAACCCTTTTTTTTACAAGCGTACGAGTGGAGGATTAGCTGTCTGTGTGAGTGCTTGTGATGATCATCAAACCTCTGCTGATACCACTGTAAGTAACCGATCGAGCTTTTGCAATTCGATCTTTATATGAAATCGAGCTCGATCTTTAAAAATGAAACCCGAATTCAAAACCTTGTTTCAAAACTCGAGTTCGGGTTACATTCGAATCCCAATATCTGCATCTCTTACCCTTTCAAGGAATATTAAACTTGAGTAACATCATTAGCTTCGAATTGTTATGTTGCAGGCCTTCACCGGAAGCAAAAAGAGAACTGGTGCCATGACGTTCAGCTTCGTCCAAGCGGTTCAAAACGAACCTAGGCTAACGTATGGCAGCTTGCTTAACGCGATGCGCTCTGTGATTCGTGGCGTTAGCGAAGCTATGGACGGAGCAACGCAGGTACTCATCTTAACCTTGGGACGAAGCTCGAATACAGTTCTACCATGATAAAATACATATCAAATACGTAAAAGAAGAATATATATTACCGTATCCATGACGTAACGTATCCGAACTATGCGAATAAAAAAAATTAAATTCTTGATTTGCAGGATCCACAGTTAACTTCATCGGAGAGATTTGACATCTACAAGAAGCCATTTGTGCTCTAGTAATTTCTGTTGTTCTTGAGGAACTGCCTACTACTATACTTGTTTACGTGTGCGTTGTTTTTGTAATTTTCGTATCGTAATCGTGTTTATGTTTGCATATTTATGTTAATAATTGATGTAATTTATGATGTCAAGATCGATAATTTCATAAATGCTAAGAACTGACATTTGGTTTTACTTTCAACCTAATAAACCCCAAGACCAATTCCAACGGAGGAGAGCTGAAATACAAATACAATGGACCATAACAGCAACATAATGCACAAACACACTTGCCCTGCACACAATTCAGACAAAAGCAATAACAAGTAACAGCATATCATATTAATGTCACACAATCGGAGTGCCAAGGACGTCAGTTAACAGGTTATCCAAGTTCCGGGAAGAAGAACTGCCGAGACCGGAGTTTCCTTCCCTTTCTTCTTCAGTTCGATGGCCTTTGCTTTCATTTCGATACCCTTTTCTCCCTCCATTAACTCCTTAACAAGCGTCTCCACTTGATCTCTCTTTACGTCGTCATCGATCTGATCAGCGAGTAAGTGAAGAGGACCAATGCTGTAAACAGGAAAAGGATCGATGATCGACGACATGGTATCCAAAGCGTATTGTTCCAATGACTCGAATGTGTTGAAAATCATAGCCGAAGCCTTAAAGTCACCGGATGTTGCTTTCAGGATAACATCAAGCATCCCGTCAGTCGGGTCCGTTGTTCTAACATAACTTGGAAGATCCTTGAAACATATATCTTTCATTCCAGGCATCCATTCTATCGCAGTATCTAAATATTCCTTCGTCAAACCGTCAGCCCCTGCAATATATGTAACACATTCGGTACATGGGTAGTGAAATATTTTCTTTCAATTCGATGATTAACAAGACGTGTTCATGACATTTAACGTATCGAATTTGTATCGAATTTTATTTCGATAGTGTTATGAGAGAATCATACTTGTGCTAGGGGTTAGCCCTTCTTCAAACAAACGTGGGACGTGAGCATAGCAAACCAATGAGACAGTGCTGGCCGTCCACAAAGCCACACAAGGGGCCCCAAGCTCTTGATTCGCTTCCATCGGGAACGATAATTCGTCGTCCATGACGATGCAGGTCACTCGGGGTACAACCGAACGGCGCCGTCGTTGAGCTTGTGCAGGAGATCACAGAAATGCCTGGGGCATTTCTGTGTTAAAAAACTGAAGAAAATCTCATTACTACTATTATTGGATATTGATGCCTAACACTTGATCTTTGAAATCCACGTTTCATTTTCTAAAATAAAATTCATCAAAAATTTTAATAAGAATTAATATATTTTAAGGCTTTTATTCAAAATAAAATGGTAAAATGATAACTTTTGCCCTTGTAGTAGACTCAATTTATCATTTTCGCTCATATCTTGTTTTCACGTCAATTTAACCCTCGAAGTTACTCAATTGCATCATTCCATACACTACCTAACTTAAAAACCTAACTCATAAACTCTAAACTATAAATCCTAAACCATAAACCATGACTTAGGATTTATAATTTAGAGTTTTAAGTCAAGGGCAAGATATAGAAGGGTGCACTTGAGCAACTTCGAGGGCAAAATTGATGTCATTATGTTAGCTAAATTGATGTGAAAACATAATAGGGGAGAAAGTAAAAAATTAAGTCTACTAAATGGGCAAAGATGACCCTTAAACCAAATAAAATAACATCAGACGTTAAACTTAGAAAGATAAAAATTTAATTTGATTAGAAAAAATTAAATTTAAGCTATTCGAATTTTTAGATTGTATTATTTAACTTTTTTAATGTGAGAAAATACAATCATTAACTTTTTCTAATATATTAACAATCTTAGCATGTATGAATAAGATGTCTCGTCGCATATAAAAATTCAGGGGTAAATTATGTATTTAATATTTAAAAATTATCAATTTTGGTCCGTTTTAGCATTTAAACTTTTAATATTTTTAAAATCATATCTAAAGTTTAGTTTTTATTTCATTTTAATACCTCATTTAAAATTTAACGTTAAATTTTAAAATAAATTGAAAGTTTAGGTACTAAAACGGATCAAAAGTGATAGTTTAGGTACTAAATGCATTAAGGTTTTAACGGTGGGTACTAAAATGAAACAAAAACTAAGCGTCATGTATGGTTTTGAAAAAAATGAAAATATATGTATTAGAACAGATTAAAACCGATAGTTTAGGCATTAAATGCATAGTTCACCCTAAATTCAATAGGCTTAAACTAATATAAGATACTCAAACTATGTCATTTTTTGCTTTAAATGCCTAATTTATTTTTTGGTCAAATTAAATCTTTAAACTATTATATGTAACCACTTTAATTACCTAAACTATTTTTTTGCAAAATAAGTCCCTAAACTATTACTTTTTTTCTTTAAGCCCCTAAACTATTTTTTTGGTAACCACTCTAATTTTATATGACGTGTCAACATCTTATTGGTCGAAAAATATTTTTTTAGTTGAAAAAATATAGGACTTAATATATTAAATATAATAGTTTAAGTGTTTAGTTTGACTAAAAAGTAATTTAGGTACTTAAAGTAAAAACAATGCATAATTTGAGTACTTATATTTACTTTAAGCCAAAATCAATACCATCAATCGATTGATTTAATACGATGAGACACTAGATTTTTAAAATTAAGTCAAGTGTTCGAATTATGTTGTTCGCGAATGAAGCAAATTGGGTTGGAAGGGTTATCCTAATATTGGACCTTTGTAGCACTCAATCTAGATTAATCGATTAATAAATTAAACCCGATGATTATATCAAAAAAGAAAAATTCAATCTTTAAAGTTAAATGATCAAATTTTGAAAAATAAAGTTAAATGGCCAAAATAAGAAAACTGTCAAAGTTGAGTGATGAAAATCACAGTTTACCCACTTAACAATCATTCTAATATAAATGATGGGAATATGTTCAATAAAAAAAATTAAAACCATGAGATAACAATCTTTAGTTGAGATCGTAATCTCATTTAAAAATAACCATCTTTAATATATGCAACGAGCCAGCTTATTTATACATGTTAAGATCGTTAATTAATTTAAAAAAATGTTTTTTTAGAATATAATTGTATTTTTCATATTAAAAAGTAACAGAAATTACAAAAACCGATATGAAAAATCGAATAATATAAAATTTAATTTTATTCAAATTATTAGAATTATAAATTCAATTCAACTCGAATTTGAAAAATCAAAAAAGTTATATAATTTATTTCGCGAAAAAAATAAATTTTTATCTCTTTAATACTAAAGTCCAATATAATTTTATGGCATAAAGAACGCAAATGGTCTTGTGATGATTATTTTATTAAGTCTTTGGACTATTAAAAGTTATAAAATGATCCTTTAACTACAGAATGTTACTTTGTTGAGTCCCTCGACTATTAAAAGTTACAAAATAGTCACTCGACTATTCATTATATTCCAAATTTGTCCTTTTCCGTTAAAAAAATGAACGATATTCAGAACTGAACGTCAACTTGTTGATTGTGATATGATAAAACTTGATCTCAAAATCTCAAACGACTATCACATCCCTATCAACATGTTAACATCTAGCTTAAACAACCACCATTTTTTTAACGCAAAAAGACGAGTCTAGAATACAATGAATAGTCGGGTGACCATTTTGTAACTTTTAATAATTGAGGGACTCAATAAAGCAACACTCCATGGTCGAATAACCCTTTTATAGTTTTTAAATAATCGATCAACGGTTTGCCCAACTTTCGCTTCGAAACCATCCCCGATGGCCTCCCACCGTCCGATAACTACAATGTCACCCGAGACAACGTCTCCTTGTTTCAGTCCTTTTCGGCCAACGGGTTGGGACATTTCCGTGATCTCCTTCACAAGCTCAACGATGGCGCGGTTTCGAGTGCACCCCGAGTGACCTGCATCGTCACGGACGATCAGTTGTTGTTCCCAATGGATGCGGCTCAAGAGCTTGGGGTCCCTTGTGTGGGTTTATGGACGGCCAGCACCGTTTCATTGGTTTGCTACACTCACTTCCCACGTTTGTTTGAAGAAGGGCTAACCCCCGTCACAAGTAACATTCTCTCATCACATTATCACACGTCTTATTCATCCGTTCATGGAATTGAAAAGAAATATTTAACTAACAATGTATCGAATATGTTACATATATTGCAGGTGCTGGCGGTTTGACAAAGGCATGTTTAGATACTGCGATGGATTGGATGCCTGGAATGGAAGATCTACGTTTTAGGGATCTTCCAAGTTATGCTAGAACAACGGACCCGAACGGCGGGATGCTTGATGTTATCCGCAATTTAACGTCCGGCGACTTTAAGATTTCGGCTTTAGCTTTGAACACATTCGAGTCGTTGGAACGAGACATTTCGGATACTATGTCGTCGATTCTCGATCCTATTCCTTTTTACAACATCGGTCCTCTTCACTTACTCGTTGATCAGATCGAAGACGATAGACTGAAACACATCGATTCTAATTTGTTGGTCGAACAATCCGAATGTGTCAAGTGGCTCGATTCTAAAGAACCCGACCGTAATCTACGTGAACTTCGGATGTATGGCAGTGATGCGTCCTCGACACTTGATCGAAGTTGCTTGGGGTCTAGCTAATAGCAAGCAGCCGTTTTTGTGGATCATTAGTCCCGATCTCATTGAGGGTAAGGCGGTGATTTTACCACCCGAATTCGTCGCCGAAGTCGAAGGCAGAGGGCTATTAGCGAGCTGGTGTCCACAAGAAGAAGTTCTTAAGCACCCATCGGTAGGAGGGTTCTTATCTCACATGGGATGGAATTCGACAATCGAGAGTGTGTCCGCCGGTGTGCCGATGCTTTGTTTGCCGAACTTCGCGGACCAGCAAACAAACACTTGGTTGGCTTGCACGAACCTCGGCATTGGCAGACGTAAAGAGGGATCAAGTGGAGATGCTTGTTAGGGAGTAAATGGTGGGAGAAAAGGGCATCGAAATGAAAGCAAAGGCCATCGAATTGAAGAAGAAAGCGAAGGAGGCTTCCGATCATGGCGGTTCTTCTCCCCGGAACTTGGATAACCTGTTAACCGCCGTTCTTGGCTCTCCGATTGTGTGACATTAATATGATATGCTGTTACTTGTTATTGCTTTTGTCTGAATTGTGTGCAGTTCAAGTGTGTTTGTGCATTATGTTGTTGTTATGGTCCATTGTGTCTGTATTTCACCTTTCCTCTGTTTGAAATAAAATATTTTAATGCATTTTTTCTATTTAAAAAAAATAAAAAATAAATAATTATCTCTATCAATTCAAAAAATAATTTAAAAAAATAATTTAAAAAATAAAAACTAAATAATTATCGGTCAAAACGGTAAATTTCAGCATCATGACTAAAAGTAACCGTCTATGGTCCCTTCAATCTTTGCATGCTCCACCAAACTCTTCACAAAAGAAAACCCAAAACCAAAAAAATGAATTTATTTCCTTATCAATGAAATGCCATTTGGAAAAAGAAAAGTAAAAAGCGAAAAGATTGTTCTTTTTTTCTTCTGTTTGGTTTCAGAATATGAGCAAAACCCAGATGATAAAAAGCGGTAATCTGTTCTGGGTATTTGTTGTTTTACTTCTGATGTGCTTCCTTTGATTGTTTCTCGTTCTTTTTTTTCCTATTTGTTTCCGTTTGGTTTCTGGTTCTGGTTTTGTTTTTTTTTTTTTTTTGTCTGTCTGTGATGTTGGAATCCACCGCTGAGAAGAAGAAGGGAGGGGACATGAAGGATGATGGTGAGTTTGATATGTTATTAGATGAGATCCCTCATGCAACATCACGCCATCATCATCATCGTCAAAATGAGTCATTTAATGGCATGTATGGTCTTATGTATGATGATGACCCATTCCATAACCATACATGTGTTTCCCCTGTGAGCGGTTTCTCTTTACTGTCAGATGGTTCTTCCTCTAATTTGTCTAATGGATCACCACCTCCACCGCCATTAGAGGACCTTAAGCCACTCTTGTCTAATGGACTGTTCATGGATTCAACTATTAGGCAAAAGGCTAGTAGTGACAGCTTGTTTGATGAACTGGGTCTTTGTAGAAATCTTAGTAAAATGTATATTAGTAATGATCAAGAGAATTTCGTTTCTAGTTTTGGAGATTTTTCACTTGAATCCAATGGAATTCAAAAGCATGGGGCTTGTGATGAACTGAGGAAAGGGTTCTCTGATTTTGTGGGTGTCCAGTCCCCTGATTCAATGAGTGTTCCATTGGGTGTCAATGGTGGGAGGAATATGGCATTTTCTGGATTTCCCCAGCAGGAATATCCCCAAATGTTTATTGGTTGCTCAGATGCTTTGGTTTCGCCACGGATGAATTGTTGGAATGGTGCAATGAGATCTCCAGGGCAGAAAAAGGAGCGTAATCTTATGATGAATGATGGTTTAATCTATGGACAAAGGAACAGTATGAATTGGAACGATGGAAGAAGTCATCTGCATTTCCATGGTTCTCCCCTATTTGTTCAAGCAAACCATCATGCCAGTGTTGGAAACATGTTAAATCAGGGTCCGCCAGTATCCGGTGGGATGCCTGGAGCTCATTCGATTGTTGGAATGCCACATGAGGATAATTTCATTATTCAAGGAGATGGTTCAAACTTTGTAATCAACAAGGGGCTTGATTGTTCGAGGGGACAGAACAAGGGCTCACTGCAGGAGATTGGTGTGAGTAAGCGCCAAGATGGAAGGTCGCAACTTGATAATTGGTCTCACTTTGCAGCAACTTGTGGAAATGCCAAGTTATGTAACTCATTCTCTTTGGCGACTAAGTGTAACTCTTTGGCCGAAGCTCGTGGACATATATACTTATAGCAAAAGATCAACACGGTTGTAGGTTCTTACAGCGGCTATTCGATGAGGGTAACCCGGAGGACCTTGAAGTAATATTTAAGGAGATCATTGATCATGTAGTTGAACTCATGATGAACCCTTTTGGGAATTATCTTATGCAGAAGTTATTGGAAGTGTGTAGTGAAGAACAGAGAACGCAGATTTTGTTAATGGCTACCGAGGAACCGGGGCAGCTTGTTAGAATATCTCTAAACACACACGGGTATGTTTGAAACACTGAAAATGTATATTTCTTGTATGTGGTTGTATTTCTAACATTGTTTTCCTTGTTTCAGCACCCGTGTAGTCCAAAAGTTGATCGAGACTCTCAAAACCAGGCAGCAAATTTCACTAGTTATATCAGCTCTTGAGCCTGGGTTTCTATCTCTCATCAAGGACCTGAATGGGAATCATGTCGTGCAGCGTTGCTTGCAATGCCTTCGTAGTGAAGATAACAAGGTAAGCCTTCCACCTTTCTAGGTGTTAATGTCATTTAGATTGAAACAAGAATCAGTGATTGTAACTTTATGCAAAATAATGGAGTGTTAATCTAGTTTTTTTCTGTCAATACATATTTCACTGTCTGCTAGCAGTCTTTTGCAGTTGCTAGCAATCTATGTGATTTATGTAGTGGGTGTTTTGTGTAACTTGGCGGTTTCATTTACAATTTAGCTAAGAAAATGATCGTGTGTGCTTTTGAATTTTGTTAGTTCATCTTTGTTCTTCGGTCATTACTTGGCAGACATTGACAATGTCCTTTTTTTCCAATCATTTTGACAGTTTATTTTTCTTGCTTCTGCAAAGTATTGTGTCGATATTGCTACTCATCAACACGGCTGTTGTGTTTTGCAACGATGCATTAGTCATTCCTCTGGGGAATATCGGGAAAAACTGGTTGAACGAATATCCACCAATGGGCTTCTACTTGCACAGGATGCATTTGGGTAAGCATCAATCATCACTCAGAGGAAACTCGACTTACATAATCTAACATAGTTGTGTATGCAATAAAGAATTTCTGGTTTACCGAGTAGCCAGATTTTCAGGTTGACTGGTGATGCAGAAAAGGTGCAGTACACGGAAACTCTGCATATTTGATTGTTTTAGGTCTTCTATATTTGGCCTTTCTGTGATAACAATATGTGGTGATGACAAAACTTTGTTTCACAAAGTGAATTAATGGCTCATTTTGTGTCACGGACTTATATTTTGTTAATAAAGTCAAGCATGAAAGCATGCTGAATAAGTCATCGTGCTGGTGTGGTGCTCATATTTTGTTCGAAAACAACTATTTTCCCCCGGTTAACCGTTTAATGTTTGAATTTTTCTTTATTTAATGGTGCTTGTCGATTCCAAAATCGATATTCCCCAGTGCCCCTGAATTCAAGTTTGTGATATACGTTCCCTTTTATGTGTTTCTTCTAACCGCAGATTTTTGTTTTTGATTTTGCAGAAATTATGTTGTTCAGTTTATTTTTGACTTAAAGATTCCGTCTGCCACTTCTACTTTGATATCTCAATTCGAAGGGCATTATGCGCACCTCTCATCACAGAAGTTCAGCAGTCACGTGGTCGAAAAATGTCTGGTGGTGTTAAATGACGAGAGCCGATCGAAAATCATTCAGGAATTGCTCTCTACAACTCACTTTGAACGATTACTTCAAGATCCACATGCAAACTATGTTGTGCAAACTGCTCTCCGTGTGTCCGAGGTTTGAGAATCGATTACTTTTCTATTATTTACGAATTCCCTCAATCAACACCTATCTTTGTGTGTGTGGCTCAAAACATGTATGCTTCGTCGTAACATTTTTATGCATTGGTCTGGGAATCATCGGTTACAGAAAGAACTGCACTTGTGTTGTGGTAGAGAATACTTGGTATAGAATATTTGACAGCGATGGGGAAGAAAATGATTACCGCGGTCGAAAATGCATGCTCTTACTTGCAGTCAAACTTAGAAGACCTCATATTCGAATCAAATTGTTTGGTCTGAAATCCTCTTTTCTTGCATGTTACTCTAACCCTCCTACTAACATCAGGAAAGGTATCTGATTTCTCATTTCTTTCAATGATGTTAGGGATCTCTGCACAATTCTCTCGTCGAAGCAATCGAGTCCCATAAAGCACTATCACGCAACAGCCCGTATTCGAAGAGGATTCTCTCTCAGAAGCTTCTCAAAAAGTGATGTACATTCTTCCCATATCCGAAAGAAGCCGTCTTTCGCTGTTTTGTGCCTCTGTTATCCTACTTTTCTTCTGTCCATTATAATTATCATCTCAAAACACATATATACATGGAAACTGGACTAAATTGATTCGTCTTCTCGAAAATGGCATGGAAACCCCTTCCATGTGATCAGAAGAGTGTAAAAGATAAAGCCATTTTGAACTCAAAGTTGCTCGAATTTTGGACATTGGGTTATCTATGTTGTCTTGTTGGTCTCTATCAATGCCATTGAATGTTTGTTTTGCATATTTTGCTCTGTATTGGATGTTTCCTTCTCCTCGGAACGAAGAAATCCGAGTCGGAAACAGAGAAAGGGCTTTCGGATTTCAAAACCTTAAATATATAAGATCAGTTATATTATTTTCACCTCGAATTTAAATTCAACTTGATCTGATTTTACTTTTCAAAAATTGACCTTATAAGATTGGGTTGGTTTAGAATCTTCTTAGTACTAAATTGTTGGTAGTTGCTTACGAGCTTAGTAAAGTTACCATTGATTACTCTCTATTCTAAACCTTAATTTTTCATTGGGTAAATTATGCATTTAGTACCTAAACTATAATTTTTGATCCGTTTTAGTACTTAAATTTTCAATTTTTCAAAATCATACCCAACATTTAGTTTTCATTTCATATTAGTACTTGTTGATAAAAAATTAATGCGTTTAGTATATAAACTATCAGTTTTGATTTGTTTTAGTATATAAGCTTTCAGTCTTTTTAAAACTTAATGTTAAATTTTGAACGAGATACAAAAATGAAATAAAAACTAAAGGTTTTAACGGGATACTTAAATGAAACAAAAATTAAACTTTAGGTATGGTTTAGAAAAGTTAAAGTACTAAAACGGAATAAAACTAATAGCTTAGATACTAAACGCGTAATTTACCCTTTTTATCATTTCCCTAATTTCGGCGAACAATAATAAGTAGTTACTGAAATTAAAGTGCAATTAATAATAAAATTAATTAGTTTTAAAATTATGAACCTGACAAGACCACGTAATTAGAAGCCTACGGAAAGTAGGAGGCCGTAATAAGTAAAATTTCTGGCCAACGGCTTCGAGACACGTGGCCCTCGCCGAGCCGCAACAAGCCGTTGCTTCCTTAAAACCTTTACATAATCATCCACATTAACATGCCGTCGCTGTTTTTAGTTAATTGTAATGAGGTGTATAGAGAAGATCGGGTTTCACATTACCGTATTTTGAAGGGTTGTTCAACCTTTCAGTGATGGATCCGAAGAAATCGTAATAGCCATACTTGAACCCGTCGAGCTGGTTCATCAGCTTGTTTAGGGTTTTGGGGAACTCTAAATTATGCAGCTTTGCCAGTGCATTGACTTCATCAATGCAAGAACCCCCAGTTTGTGCTTTAAAAAATGGCAAACAACCCAATGGCATCAGCATCATGTTAGTGAACCCACACTTCCTCCCTCCTTGTATATTTCATGAGGTTTTTAAGCGATTTGAGCAAAGAAATTTGAATGAAAAGAGGAGAGAATTTCTGGGTTTTTTTAGGTTTATGAAACTTACTTTGAGAGCAGCAGATAGGTTGCCGATCACCATGGAAACGAACTCTTCATCTGTGACAGTTGAGGTTTTGGTCAAATAATCATTGCCTCCAATGTCTATGAAATAAACAGCGTCGGATAACAGCTTCTTGATCTCTGCAACTCCAAGTTCTTTCCTCAGTGATCTCTCAGCTTTCTTGAAGTATTTTATTTGTGTTTCCAAGTCTATTACCCGGCGTTTAATGGAACTAAATTACTTTGTTTTCTGGAAATCCTCTAATAGAATCAAACAAAGAGTAATTGAACGATAAAGAAAGAAGAAGAAAAAAATGATGAAATAGTATAAACATACTAATCCTTGATGAGTTTCAACTAGAGCACCAGCTCCAGCCGTTGCAAAGTTCACCCCATATGTAGACTTGGAGTTCCCCGGGTTTAAATATTCTGGAATCAATGGTAACCCGGAAAACTCAGCTGTGACAAGAGTCGATGAATTCGTAAACTTAATTCAGTTGATTCATACAATCATCTCAAACGAAAGATATTACCGATAAAATCCGGGATCAAACGGCCTTAAGAGAATCCATCGGTAGGGTATTCGAAGGTCTCACCGTAAGGCCAGAAGGCGGCTTTAAAATCAGGATGGTGCTGAGATAATTGTTGTTTCCAGGATCAAGAATCGAATCCCCAAAGATGAACAAAGCAACATGGCTTTCTGGGAGCAGATGGTTATGGCAGCTGACCGAGTTGAGAAATATTTCAAGCAACAAACAAGGGCACTTGATTTTGCCATCATAGGAAAGGGAAACAAATCGGTTTGTGTTCTTTCAATAACTAAATTACATGTTTTTCTTAGTGTTAATTCCTCTATTGACTGCATAATCTTCTTGTTCCTTACTATTTGTCCTTTTCATTTGGAAACCTTCAATGATGCGATTCTAATGATTTTTTAAACATGGAATTATTATGAATTAGGCTGACTTAAATTATTTAATTATTATAAAAAGTTTAATAAATTTGGATAATTATAAACGGTTGAGTTTTATTTATTTACTTCACAAGTAGACTTAATTTATCTATATGTTATGTTCAATAAATATTACAAATTTGAATATAAAAATACACATATGGGTCAATATTAAGCTTTCTATAGCATCATAACCGCACATAGAAAGACAAACACGCAAAAGCCCAAGCAGACATGATGGGTCAAACGATGGGAATAGGACTCGAGACTTTAATCAATCGGTCCACAATCTGTTATGTTCTGGTGCATAAATCACGTTTATAAAACATATAGTGGCATAGGAAAATGCGAATAGGAAAAAAAAAAGAAATTAGAAAATTCCACTTGCCTCAAATTTTATAAATTCGATTCGACTCGAAAAATTTCAAGTCAACTTCGATTTATAAAATATGACTCATCAACTCGAATAACTCGAATTTTTTTTACTCAACCCGATCGAACGCTCACCCCCTATGCTGAATCATAGGGAACCAAGTCTAATTCGTAATGATTCGATGGTGAACCACACAAAATGCAAAAAGAAAATCTAGGTCGTCCGTCAGTCGTGCACTAGTAAGATCTCTATAATGTAACATGATTATAGGCAAACCGAGTAACAATGCATGAGAGGTTGCCCCAAAGCACAATGTTAATGCTGAACCACACAAAAAGAAAATCGAGACCGTCCCTCGGTCACATGCTAGAAAGAATAATGCGGAAGTCTTGATTCTTCTTGTTCGTCAGATGATCCATAACAGAAACCATGCTTTAGATCTTTATAATGTAACATGATTATAAGCAAACCAAGTAACAAATGCATGAGAAGTTGCCCCAAAGCATAACGCTAATGCCGAACGGCAAGAGTTTTAACTCTCTAGGTATGGCGACAATGCAAATACAAAGAACTTGGACAGGCTAAGCATAACAATAGCGGCCTACTCAGAACTGCAAATTCAACAGGCTCAGAGTTTCTTAACAACTAGTATTGAATGACAAATGCAGTGCTCAAAGCATCAATCATATAGTATAGCTAGCTAGTAAAGATTGCAAGACAATGTCTTAAATCCTCAATCCAAACTGATTCATAACAAACCCACACATCTTAAGCAATCAGAGCAATCCACAAGCATCGTATTCGAGACCTTACAAATGACAAAAATCACTGGATACAATTTCGAAGATGATAATTATACTAAACCAATAGTAGTAAAATTTATTTTCCACATATTGTAAATTACACTACAGAATGATACCTGAGCTTAAATATGCACACATCCATTACCTGCACAAGCAAAACCATGAGATCACTTGGAAACCAATAGGATTTCTGGTTTCTTCGCCTTGCGAGGTGTGTTAGCATTGGAAGTTGTATTGGTTGCTGCTGCTCTTGCACTCTTATCAAGCCTTATCAGACTCTGCAATGCCAAGATCGCTTGCGGCGCCAAATCGTGAGACGCCCTCGCATATAAACACCTAATGGCAAAGGATGCGGCGTCCTTTACGTCTTGGGAATTTGAAGGACCGAACAAACAATGCCCTAAAATTGTCACCACCGGCCTTAAAAGTTCCCACGGTAAAGGGATCCTCACACTCTTTATCTCCAAATTCTCAGCATCTCCATTAATCCCCAAATTGTTCATCTCCACCACCACCACTTCCTTGATCACATCATTCTCGTAGTCCTCTTCATGGCTTTTCGCTCCATTGCTAAACCCAGAATCCTCTCTAGAAATGTGCTCATAACTGTTTCCGTTTACGTTACCGTTTCCATGTTGATCATTCTCATCCCGGTCGAATTTTGTTCTGCAAGGACAATCTTGCCCTGCCCAAGCGGCGGCGAATTTGCAGAAATCCAATTTAGACCAAGCCGGCATTTGCGAAACTTGCTTGTAATAGCAATCAAGCGTCGTTCCAACGATGATAGCTCGTTTAGTTGACTTAACGGCTAAATGTGGCTCGAGTGGAGCTGATAAAACGCCGACAGATTGTCTAGATCTGTCGTCAACGGGCTTGTTACGAGGAGTGTGGTAAAGAGACGGTTGAGACAGGTCGGGAATTTGGACGAGAAGCGGTTTCCCGTCCCGGGATTTGACTTCGGAAGAGTAAACGGCGAGTAGAACAGCTTCAAATCCGGCGAGCGACGTCAGAGAAGAAGAATCCGATGAGTGGATACGGGAAAGGTAGATGCCGGAAAGAAGAGGTAGAAAAGAGAGGACGAGAAGGCGGAGTTGAGGATCGGAGGATTGGAAAGTTTCGTAGAGCCACTGGCAGAGCAGGTCGGAGCCAGAGCCCGAGGTCGGAGAAGACAAGGCCGAGGTAATCAGAGAGTAAGCGGAGGGAGACGAGAGGAGAGAAACAGCGGGTCGGTCGGAATCGGCCAAGGAAGAAATGGTGGCTCCACCGGCAGGGAGGAGAGCGGCAAGGGAAAGGATGCTGGCCCGTTGTTTGGAAACGGATTCCCACCAAGAGTGCATCGGATCGTTTTCGGTGGTAGCAGTGGAGGGAGGAGGTTGGAAGCGGGTGGTGGACGAGGAGGAGGTGGAGGAAGATGGAGAGTTTGTGGAAGGGTTACGGTGGATATACATGGCAGAGATGGCGGTGGGTTGACCTAGGCGAGAATCGGAGGGATTAGCGGGATTTGGGAATTGGGTGATCCGGAACCGATAAAGTCGGATCTCGCCTCGGCTTGACTTAGTGACTTACTAGAGCCCGTACAGATTATATTGAGTTTAGGCTTATATATATAAAATAAGTGCACAAACTTTACTGATTTTCAGAAATAATTGTTTAAAGTATTTTTTTTTGCGGATACCGATGTTTAAAATTATAAATATTATTATTTTAGGTGTTTAAGTTATTAACGGTGTTAATTTTTTTATTAAGTGATATGTGTCACAATATATAATTTTAAAAATTATATTTAAAATTAAAACAATTAAAATTATATTTTTTTAAAAAATAAATAATTTGAAATAACCTTAAAACTTTAAAAACTTTCATTTTAACCCCTAAACCCACGTCGGTTGTCACTTTTACAGCAGATGGAGCTCTACCCAACCTTATCTCCCCCAGTGACCAAAACCCTACAAAATCATGACCGGTCGACGGTCAATCGACGAAAAATCAATTTTTATACCCCGTAAATCATAGGATGAAAATCACGATCCCACGCGATTTTGATGACTAATCGACGGCAACTATGGCGGTGTATGACTAGGAGGATGGCAATGACTATGTCGGTGGCGGTGGTCGTGGCCCGAAAAAGACAGTGACGGCGACTTAAGGTTAGGATTTGGAATTTGAGGGCTTTTTCATAATTTAAGAAAAGTTAGTTTTTTTATAAATATAATAATATTTTAAATTTTTTTTAAATAAATTTCAAAACTACCAGATTATGAAATTTGTCACCTAACAGAAGAAATTAAAGGAGTTGATGGTCAAGGCACCTTAAATGGTAACATTAGGTACCGAGATGAGTAAAAAATACTTTAAGCACCTATCTATGAAAAGTGATATAGTTTGAGTACTTATTTATATTTAAAACTTGAATTTAATGAAGATTCATGTTTAATTAGCGTATTCATGCACGAATTAAGTTATGTTAGTAGTTAAAATGAATAATAATTATTTTTAAAGATTTTAAATTCAAACATTAATAATTTTGGGATATATAAGTGCTCATTATCAAATGGTTGAAAATCTTTAGACAAATACTAATACTTATTCCAATAACTTTTTCTATTATTATAATAATACTTGAAAGTATTCTTTTATGTTTATAATTAAATTTTAAACTCAAATATTTGAATAGATATTGACTTATAATTACATGATGTTAATAAAAGAATATTTTTTTTTGTTGGAATTGATTGTCAGAAGGGTTTGAAATCAAAACAAAATTTCCTTTGACACGACACAAACTAATCAAAGCCAAATTTTCATCATTAAACAGACTTCTTGTTTTCTTTAGCAATAGCCAATCAGAATCTGCCATTTGGCTAAATGACTGCCGTTAAAAGTTTTCCACTTTTCTTTGTTCATGCAAAAACATCGGGTAACAAATGGAATTGGCAATGCATGCATTGCATGATTGATTCAAAGATCGAATTTCTGTTTGGTTTCAACGAAAAATGAAAAAGAAAATAAAAAAGATAAAACACAGTTGAAGAGGGAAGTTGATGGAAGTTTAAGGGAAAGAGTAGAAAATTTTCTTCCATTTTCCTTTGTTTTCTTCTCTCTTCTCGTTTTATTTATGTTTGGTTTCAAGGAAAAACGAAAAGGAAAATAACAGAGGTAAAACTTAGTTGAGGAGGGAAGTTTAAGAACGTTTAACAAAGGGAAAGTAGAAAATTTTCTTCCGTTTTCCTTTATTTTCTCTCACTTTTCCTTTTATTTTCTCATCAACAATCTTCTCCATCATTGTTGCTGGGAATTTCTTTTATCTTATTATTATCTATTGCTATTATTATCCATGACGAGCAAGTTCCAAAGAGCCATCGGCCGTGTTAAAGACCAGACTAGCATTAGTCTGGCCAAAGTCGGCGGCAGCACGTTGCTTTCCGACCTCGACGTCGCCATCGTCAAGGCGACGCGACACGAAGAATACCCCGCCGATGAGCAGTACGTTCGGGAAATACTTATGTTGACCTCGAGTTCGCGAGCCTACGTTAGCGCATGCGTTAACACCCTCTCGAGACGTCTCAACAAGACCAAGAACTGGACCGTGGCATTGAAGACTCTCATGTTGATCCACCGTCTTCTCACCGACGGCGGTCCGGCGTACGAGCAAGAGATCTTCTTTTCGACGAGGCGTGGGACTCGGATTCTCAACATGTCGGACTTCCGCGACACATGGAGATCGAACTCGTGGGATTTCTCGGCGTTCGTGAGGACTTATGCGTTGTACCTAGACGAAAGCCTCGAATTCAAGATGCATGGGAAGAATGCGAAACATAGCATGTATAAATACGATGACGAATTTGGGGAAGAAAATGACGAGAAGGCGATGGTCGTTAAACCTACATCAGTTTACGAGATGAGAACTGAGCAATTATTTCAAAGAATGCAGCAATTGCAACAGCTTCTTGAACGTTTCTTAGCTTGTCGACCAACAGGTTTTGAATCGAAAAATTTTAAATAATGTATGATATTATTATCATACATAATAAAGATCTAATCTTTGCCTTTGCATGATTGAAAACAACAGGTGAAGCCAAAAGCAACAGGGTGGTCACGGTGGCGCTTTATCCAACCGTGAGAGAAAGTTTCCAGATTCATTACGATATGAACGAAACAATGGCAGCTTTAATCGACCGTTTCATGGACGTCGACATGCTGGACGCCATGAAAATCTACGAAGTTTTCTGCCGTCAAAGCAAGCAATTCGACGAGCTCGATGCTTTCTACTCGTGGTATAAAACCGTCGGTGTCGCTCGCCTGTCGGAGTTTCCGGAGATCGAGAAGATCACCCAAAAGAAACTCGACCTCGTCGACGAGTTGATCCGCGACAAATCGGCGTTGGAACAAGGAAACCTAAGCAAAGAGGAACCAAATAATGAACCTGTGGAAATCAAAGAACACGAGCCCAAAGAAGATATAAACGCCGTTAAAACATTGCCGCCACCGGAAAATCTCATCGAAGAAGAAGAACCGGAGAAGAAAGACGAAGATGATAACTCGAAAGATATAGTTGTGCAACAAGAGGCTAACTTGTTAAACTTCGGGTTAGGGGAGGACGCAATTTCCTTTGAAGACCACGCCGATAAACTGGCATTAGCGTTGTTCGACGGCCATGCACCAGCAGTTCTGTCGTCGGGACCGACATGGGAAGATTTGAAAGACAAGACCGATTGGGAGACCGCACTGGTTCAATCCGCGAGTAGCTTAAATAATCAAAAAGCGGAACTCGGCGGTGGATTCGACAAGTTGTTGCTCGACGGGATGTATCAACAGGGACAGACAATGGCGGCGATGCAAAGCTGTGCGACGACTGGAAGTGCTAGCAGCGTCGCATTTGGATCGGCTGGAAAACCGGCAATGCTGGCACTGCCGGCACCACCATCATCGGATGGTGATAAGAACAATAATGGACCAACCCCAGTCGATCCATTTGCGGTGTCTCTCACTGTGGCACCACCGTCTTACGTGCAGATGTCGGACATGGAAAAGAAGCAGAAACTCCTCGTGGAAGAACAGGTGATGTGGGATCAATATAGAATGAACGGAAAGCAAGTACAAGCGTATCCGTACAATCAAAGATGTGCGTGGTATAGTCATGGTCAATCATAATTCTATTTAGGGTAAACTACACAAATAATCACCTTACTGTATTGAAATGATCGTTTGATCACTGAAGTTCTGAAAATTACAAAATAATAATAAATTAATCAAAATGTTATAAAAGGGCCACTGTATATTATAAAATAGATAAGTTTTGATAAGTTTAAGGATTATTTTATAATAATTCGATAAATTTAATAATCATTATTTAACTATTTAAAAAACTAAATGACTATTACGTAACTTCAAAAACTTTAGTGATAAAAAATCATTTAGAATGAAAAATAAACCAAAATAAAAAAAGCAATACAATCATTTTCGTATCAATTTAAAAAGTTGTTTATTTTATGAGATTAATTTAAATATAAAGATAAATTTTAATATTAAATTTTAATGATACGATGATGTGGAAGAATTTTTTTATTATGATGATGTATATAAAATGATATCGTTTTAATTTAGTTATTGATGTTTAAATTGATTATGTTTTAGGCATTAAACTTCATGAATATTGTAATAATTTTTTCATTAAACTTTAAAAAGAAACAGTTTTAGACACTAAACTTCTTCATAATTAATCACCGTCCATCATTAATCGTCACTCACATCCAATTGATATTAAAATCTTCTCATCGGGTTGATTTTTCACGAAACTAAATTAAAATCGACAAAAAAAATTCATCTAATGCTTTGACGTGATAATACTCTTATATCTTCAAATGGAATGCCTGATGAGATTAATTTTGAGGTATGATATACGTCTTCTTTAAATAATCTTATCACCATTCGAATTTTTAAACAAATACTCTAAACCCTCAAATTTTGAGAAAGTGCCTAAATCCCAAAAACATGTTGAATTTATTTTGTTTAATTTTATCTTTTTAGATTGTCAATCCTAGAAAAAAATGAAATTTATACTTTTTTATACAAATCTTGAAGATCAATAAAGGATAACGATTCACTACCAGCACTAAAAGTTTAGTGCCTAAAAATGAATCATTTAAAAAATTTAATGATAAAATTAATACGCTCTTAACGTTCAATGCCTAAAATAACATTGATTTGGACATTAATAATTATAGCACAACAATATCTTGTCCATGTCATCGTGTTGTTTAAATTTTTTAATAGTATGGTGTTATAATTACAGTTAAAATTAAAATACAATATTATTATTGCAACAATTGAAAGTTTAATAATATAAATGGTGCACCGTCTAAAGTTTAATATTTTAAGTAATGTGATATGTTGAATTGATCTATTGTAACTTAAAAAACTCGAACAATTTAATATAATTTGATCTGAATTTATATTTTGTTCACCGATCAAATATCACGGTTCGAGTTTTTTAAGCTACAATAAATTAAACAAACATATTATATCACTTAAAAATATGACGTCATATTTTAAACATGATACTGCATCATTTAGTTAAGTTTAACACATAAAATTATTCAAATCTTTATCTCGTGCAAGCCGATCAACTTAGTAAGCCCATAAGTAATAGCCATGGCAATCCATCCTCCAACAAGCACCCTACCACCGGACTTCACTACCGGAGTTCCCCCAAGCAAAGCCCCCACCACCCCGAATACCACCAATGCGATGTAGCCACCGCAACAACCACCGCCATCCTCACCTTATGGTCCGCTATTAAAGCCGCCGCCAACAGCGGAAGCACCGCACAAACCGAGAAAGCCAAGGCAGATGCAACGGTGGCTTGTCCCGGATTCCAGATCATTTTCACGAGTCTCCAGTCTCTTTTCTTTGTCTCTTTTCGTCTGAGCCATCTCGACGTCCCTATGGCCATACACCTAGACGAACTCTCCGATGGCCATGCTGCTTGCACCGGCCACTAAGCCGGTGAATCCGGCGAGGATCATGGCTTTGACATCTTTTTTAACTGAGCCAACGCCCATTAACAACGAAGCTACTGAAACTAACCCATAGTTGGCTCCCAAAACAACCGCTCGAAGCCACTGTCCTCCCTGAGAGTAGTCGAACTCGTTCTCACACTCAGTGCCGTCAGCGAGTTGAGTCGGCATTGCCATGATAAGAATATGCGACAAGATATTCAGAGAAGGCTTGTGGAGGACACGGCTTTCATGTAGAGGTATTTATACAGAAAAAAGTAGCTATGGTGAGTGGGGTTCGGATTCAAATTATAATGGAAATTAAAATTTTCATAAATACGATAACATCCAACATCCGTCGGTCCATCCTAGTTCTGTCTCCATTAGAGGTGGATTTCTAAGTTGGATATCATTTTCGTTTGATTATTATATGGAAGCGTGGCTTCCACACGAAAGTCATTGCCCATTTGATATCCATGGGAACATATATATTCACCACTATTACTCTCTTAAGACTTAAATAATGAACCAAAAGGCTGAAACTTGTGAGTTGTGACCAATTTTTTTAGACTTCCCACTCACTTGCTAATTGCTATCCTTTTCTTCTCCATTTCCGGGCTACTTAGCTTTACTGACCATGGTTGAATTTTGTTGATACAATATTTGAAAGTTAGTATAGATTATCAGTTGATTTAATAGAATAAGATATCAAGTTCTTAAACAAAGTTTAAAGATTTGAATTCTATAATTGTGAATAAAGAAAATTGAGTTAAAAAATCATATTCATAGCAAATTTTTGTATAGTCAAATACAAATTAATTTAATTAACAAATCAGATATCGTTGTATCTTTGCCGAACACCCTTAACATATCATCCTTGTATAGGGATGGGCACGGGATCCAAACCCGACGAGTTCTGGCTCGACCTGACCTGATCGGGTTTTGACTCGACCCGACTCAATCGGGTCAGTTTTTTTAATTTGAATTGGAGCGTGTCGGGTTGAGTTTTTAGAGGTAATGTTCGGGTCGGATCTGGTTCGGGGTAAAAATTACCCGACCCAATCGGAAAAAAATATAATTTTACCCTATATATTTAAAGATAATTATAATAATACCCCTATATATATTTTTTTCAATTAAATCCTTACTTTTATTGAATAAAAATAATATTCTTAATAAATATTATTTCGGGTCGAATGAAGAGTGTAAATTTTTTGGTCGAATCGGATCGGATGGAGAATGTATAATTTTTGGGTTGGACCGAGTTGACCCAAACCCGACCTATACCCATTCTTATCCTTGAACATCAAAGTCTCCAATATTGAATCCCTTTATAGTTAAAATCATAGAATAGTATTTATAGAAAAAAAGAATCTTAAATATCTAACACTCCTTATAAAGTTGTGATCTCTTGGCATGATCTCTAATAGTAACCTATCAGAGTTAAATCTATTATTAGTCGATCATATCTACTCAGCATGCCAACTTATGAGTAGTCATCGTGACCTTATACCTAACAGTAACAATAAAGATCACTATAAACTAATTTGGATCGATGAAAATACGACCTAATGGATTAATAAAAATGTCACCGTATACCAGCAGATAATATCAACTGATGGATAGGTGATTTTTGCATAAAAAGCATGTGAATTGCATGAATTTTAGTGAATTAGTATGCATGCTATTATAAGCTATACGTTTGATTTGATGAGGTTTGAAACATACTTGACATGTATACTATGCACTATAGGTATATAACTTTTTTTGTATTAATAATTTATTTATTTTTATAAATGTTGATGTAATCAAAAATAAATATCATGTTATATTTTTTTTGTATTGTAATTTTATAAAAATTCAATTAAAAAATTATATCGGGATATCATCATCGTACATTTTATATGATTTATTACTTTTACAAGAAATAGTATAAATTAATATGATATTTTACGTAATAATATATGAATTTTAACATATTTATGCATTAGATTTTAATACAATTATATATACAATATATTTAATTATAATAAGAGGATTTTAATTTCAAATTCAAGAGGCACAAGTGACGCTTGTGCAACCACGGGCGGATGCATGTACATTTTAGGGTTACGTGCTCACCCTAAAATCCGATTTTTTTTTATGTTTGTTGTTCATTTGAGTGATATTTCCTTCCTAAAATTCTATTGATGCCTATTCCATGCAAAAAAAAAATACTTCAGTATATATATATATCTAAAAAATATTTCTGGATCTATCACTAAGTGCAACCTAAACTGTGTCCGTAATGTATGTTTTCGATCCCACCTACCGCAATGTTCTCTGTACGAGCACTGCTCGTGGTCTGTCTCGTCGGCTCGTAGCTATTCGATAACTATAAATAAGGTAAATTACAAATTTCATCATTAAACTTTACTTTCTCTCCTATTTTGCTTACTGAACTTTGAAAGTTTTCAATTTTCTCACTAAATTTAATATTATGTTTTTTTAGTCACTCCGGCGTTACATAGTTAACAAAGCTAAAACGATGCCGTTTTAGAAAAAATAAAATTTTCACCAAAACGACGTGTTTTGCATCTATATAAAAGTCCATTTATAACACCGTTAGTGAGAAAACAACTGAGTGACCAAAAAGCCCAATGTACTAAGTTTAATGAGAAAATTTGAAAGACTTTATGTACAATTAGTGATACAAAAGAAAGAATAAAGTTCTGTTACCAAAATTGTAATTTACTCTTATAAATATTCCATGAATTTCCATACCGAACGTAAAGTATAATATAGTTGAATGTCTCATATTCTAAAATCATTCTAAATTTTAAATTATCGATTTTTTCTTATAATTTGAGTAAGTAAAAGGCAATATATGTTTTAAGATAACTCTTAACCTTTCAACATTGAACGCTCACACCCCTGATATCTATGATGCTCGAATTCCAATATTAAAAAATAACAACAATTCTTTTATCATGAATGTCACTTTGTTGATACTCGAAAAAAAATTAATTAAATGTTCAAATTATCAACATCGCTTAAATCATATCATTAGTTGGAAGTTATGAAACCCATCAACAAACCCTTGAAATTACGTTTTCTTATATATTTTAAGAATACAAGTGTATGGTCATCATGAAACCAATCAACAAACCCTTGAAT